CTTCTCTAAGAGCTCTCGAAAACTTGTTAAATTCTGAGGAAATAATATCTGTCACGTTTTTTAACGTGGCAGGCTGATCCATGTTGTGTGTTTATTGAACTGTATGTGAAGTGTTCATGCATAGGCGACCAAAGCCAGAATGATCCTAAATATCCAGCAATCAACCATAATAACAATACAACTCGCTCACTCAGAAACAAACACATGCATGAAACTACACGTCAATCTGATTGGTAACCGAGTTCACAAGTACACAATAGAAAATATTTATGTTCTAATTCATTACACTCAACCGAACATAAATGATTATACTTGAAACTGGCAGTCAATTGCTATTTTTCAAGGCCAGTGTTCATTTTTATTTATTTTTGTCTTGTTTGCTGATTGTATACCCAGTCAGGTTGATTCAAGTCCTTATTTAGTGCTTCCAATGCACCAGTATACTGGGTATGGGTGTATTGGCATACAATTATTGACAAAATAATAACATAAGCTGATTTTCTATGCTGACAAAACTCTTTGCATTTACCAAGGCTATTGAGATTGTTTCAGTAAAGTATGATTTATTTTACTTGGCCTATTGCAGGCTACCTTGGTCCATTTTCTTTCAGCAGTGGGATAACACTTGTCAGTCCTTACATCCCACTAATATAACTTGATTTTATGTTTATGTTTCTTTTTATCTTGTTTTTTTGTTGTGTTTTGAGTTTAGAATATAAACAATTTCAAAATTGTGGTATATATTATTGTACATTTATTGAAAAATGCAATATGAATTTCATGAAACACTTGTACGACAATGGCTAATTTGCTTGAAGAATTGCCATTTTTTTCATGTACAAATGTTGAGGTCTTAGATTTAGCATATGACTTACATGTTTATGAAAGTTTAGTATTTAATCCTATGGATTTAAATAGATTAATTGGAGAACCTCAAGATAATCCACCTGAAGAGCATACGCCAATGAGAAATATTATTGAACAATGTAATTATTTGAATTTAGATCAGCTTAATATTAACCTGGATAAAAGTAGTGGTCTTACATTTTTACACTTAAATTCCAGAAGTCTTCCAAAGAATAAGTGGAAGTTTGATCTTATGCAGTCATTAACAAAACATTCCTTCTCTGTTACTGCTATGTCTGAGACATGGCTTAACACGGAAAATGAAGCCAATTTTCAATTAACAGGATATAATTCTGTTTTTAAATCCAGAGTTGGTATTAAGGGAGGTGGAGTTTGTATATATATTAAGGAAAATATCATTTTCAAAGAACGTCATGATCTTACAATGAATTTAAATTCCTGTGAAAATGTAACAATTGAAATTACTCCACCTGATGGTAAAAATACTTTAGTATCTGCTATTTATAAGCCTCCAAATTCTAATTTGGCTATTTTCAATGATGAATTTAATGAATTCTTAAATAAAGTCACATCTGAAAAAAAGCCAAGTTATTTATTGGGTGATTTTAACTTAGATCTACTTAAAGCAGATGAACATAACTTGACAAATGATTTTTTATGCCATCTATATGAGAACAATTTTATGCCCTTAATCTATCGACCAACAAGAGTAACTCATAACAGTGCAACTTTGATTGATAATATATTCACGAATGTTAATAATGTGACATCATCAGGTGTAATACTTTATGACATCTCTGATCATTTTCCAGTATTCTGCACCTCTTTACTTGAAAAACCATCTTATAAAAAAATCAAAATAAGTTATCGTTCATATTCTGATAAGAACTTAACCAGATTTAAAGATGAAATATGTCTCATGGAATGGACTGATTTAAAACAACAGGACAATGTCAATGAAGCATATTCAATATTTATTAACAAATTTACTGAGGTGTACAATAGATGTCTCCCAATATTAACTAAAACTGTCAAAACTTACTGTAACTTAGAAAGACCATGGATATCCCTGGGTATTATTACTTCAGCTAAGAGGAAAAATAAACTATATATTAAGTTTAAAAAATGTCCAACTGATGAAAATAGACTCACTTACACTAATTATAAAAATAGACTTAATCATATTATCAGGAATGCAGAAAAGCTTCATTATAAGAAAAAATTTGAAATTAGCAATGGCAATATAAAAAAGACCTGGGATGTAATAAACTCTATTTTGAAACGTAAACAACCTAAGAAGATCCTTAATGATAATTTTATCCATGAAGGAAGAAAAATTGATGATGGAAAATCCATAGCAGACAATTTTAATAATTTTTTTAGCACAATTGGTGAAAAGCTAGCTAATGAAACTAACTCGGATAAAGACCCACTTGATAATGTTAATAAAATCGAACGTAATATAAATTCAATTTTCTTGGCACCTGTTGATGTTAATACTGTCCAAAATCAAATCAAGAACTTAAAGGACTCAGCCGCAGCCATTGATGATATTAAACCAAAAGTTGTTAAAGTATTACATGATCATATAGCTGATCCTCTTACTTTTATTTATAACCTCTCTATGACCACAGGTATTTTTCCTGAAGAACTTAAACTTGCTAAAGTTATTCCAATTTTCAAAAAGGGGGAACATGATAAATTCGCAAACTATAGACCAATATCTATTTTAAGTGTATTTGCTAAGATGTTTGAAAAAATAATGCATGACAAAGTATCTACTTTTTTAGAGAAATATGAATTGTTGTATTTACACCAGTACGGCTTTCGGAAACATAGATCAACTTACATGGCACTCCTAGAATTTATTGAAAATGTCAGACATTCATTAGATAACAAAGAATATTGTATCGGAATATATTTGGATCTATCAAAAGCTTTTGATACTGTTAATCATGCAGTATTACTTAAAAAAATGGAACATTATGGTATAAGAGGAATTGCACTTTCATGGTTTTCATCTTATTTATCAAATCGAAAAATGAAAACTGAATACTCTAAAAGTTTATCCGAGAAATATTTGTCTGAAGAAGCAATCGTTAACTGTGGAGTACCCCAAGGGTCTGTTCTAGGCCCCCTCCTATTTATCATATTTGTAAATGATTTCTATCTAGTTTCTGATAAACTCAAACTGGTGATTTATGCGGATGACACTAATATATTATGTAGTGATTCCAATCTTGATAATTTGACCACAACCGTAAATTCTGAACTGTGTGACATCAATGATTGGTTGTTGGCCAATAAACTCACTTTAAATGTTAAGAAAACAAAATACATGGTCTTTGGAAATAAAAGAAATATATCTGTGAACAATGAAATAAAAATTGCAAATTCTAACCTTGAAAAAGTAGATGAGATAGGATTCCTGGGAGTAATTATTGATTCAAAATTATCTTGGGCTCCCCATATCAATGCCCTTCATAGAAAAGTTTCAAATGTTATAGGAATGTTATATCGAACAAATTATGCTCATACTTTAAATTCAAAGATGATAATATATAACTCTCTGATTTTTTCTCATCTTAATTACTGTAATATTTTATGGGGAAATGCTTGTAAGAATCTATTAAATAAACTACTGATATTGCAAAAGAAATTTGTTAGATTAATAACAAATTCAGATAGATTAGCTCACACATTCCCAATTTTTCAAGATCTTAAAATACTTAATATTTATCATATTCACACAATCCAAACTGTTTCATTCATGAAAAAAGTTATAAGCAAATCTGTACAGTTCCCTTCAAAATTATACGATCACTATTTCAAAACTAGAGAAAACATACATCAACGTATAACTCGATTTGGTCATAACTTAGATATTCCTAAACATAGAACCAGAATTGGTGAAAATTCTATTAAGGTCCATGGTTCATATATATGGAATTCCCTCAATGAAGATATTAGAAATAAACCATTAAATTCACTCATATCTCGTTTGAAAATTGACCTCCTGAGTACAGAGTAACCAAAACATTTATTTCATTTCTTTATTGTCTCATATTATTGTATTTGTATATTGTATTTATATTATATTATTGTATTGACCTATGTACCACTTTAAATGTTCACAGTTTATCATGTTTATTGTAAATTTAATTATGGGCAGTCATACACCCCCTGGGGTGTCATAGCCTGTATAATGTTGTAATTTTTGTAATGAAAACTGAAATAAATTATTTTGAAATTGAATTGAATTGAGTTAAATTTCACCGGGCTCTCACCGAGCTCCCTCATCATGTCATCGCAGCCCCATCGTAACCACATCGGAAAACACGTCGGCTGGTGCACGGCCGAGTATCGGCCGGTGTCCCGTGCATCTGAGACAACCAGAGGACGAGGTTTTTTAACGGACAGCGGCCGAGCTCCGACCGAGCTCCGGCCGGTCACTGTTCAAAGCCCGTTAACAACCCGGCCGGCGATCGCATGGTGTCCTGTTACCTGCTCGGGTACCGGCCGTATTCCTTCCGATGTCCGGCCGACCTCCGGCCGGTAGTTGCTGCCACATCGGCAGAAAAAAACTACCATTTTGAGACAGACTCTGTACGGTCACCGGCCGGTGTTCGGTCGGTCGCCTGAAGATGTCCGGACGGAGTCCGTTCACGTCACCGAGCTCTGCTTCCGATGAGGAGAGCTCGGTGGCACCAAAAAAATCCACCGAGCTCTACCGATGCCGGACATCGGCCGGGCTATGTGACTAGGCCATTATACTGTTGATTTTCTTATCAATGAACATACAGTGAAACCGTCTAAACACCTCTTTTCCTTGGTCTCATAGTTGTTTTCTTCCATTGACTTACACGTTTATAAAATGTTGAAATGTGAATACCTTCTAATCTGAACACCAGTCCCAGAGTTGTACTGATTAGACAGGTTTTGCTGTATTTCCTTAAAGGGGGAAATAACCTAGAATTTAAAGAGCAACCCATCTTCGTGTTTTAATTTTAATTCTGGCTTATTAGGTTGGGAGGAAGATGTGGTGTCATTTCACTAATCTTTTTAAATTCTGTCACATGACCAAAATTGACCAATCACAGTCCTTGATTTGGCATAATCTAGTGAGAACATACCTTCTCAAATGTGTCATGGATAGCCCAGTACATTTCACGGACAGAAATACATCCAAAACGTAAATGTGCTGCCATACTAGTTGGAGGAGCAGCCATGTTAGGCTTGAACTGGTTAGGCATCATGAATCCCTTCTTAAATGCCTGAAACATAATAAGGTGTAGGAAAACTACAGTTTGCAAATGCACAGCAACTAACCTGCATTATCATTTGTAGTTATATGGATGTAAGTGAGCTATGTCTGCAACAATGGTGTTTATAGATCAACCAAGAACATTCACCAACCTTGGGGAAGGTGTAATACTGGATAACATTGTAGATGGGATGTATACTGCAAAAGGTGCTCACTCACTAAGTTGTTCATTTTTTTTGCTTGGGTTTCGAAAAATACATCAAGGATAAAATGTCCATATCTTCCCAAAAACAGAATAGAAAAATTTATTTCTGGTAATTTCTAGCATTACATATATTCTATGGAGTCAAATAAAAATTGAAGTATTGGTGAATACAATTATCTTTTTAATCATGTGATCAATTCTTAGCCAACGAGAGATTGAGCAAGATTCCAATGATATAATAAATATACCTAAATATACATGTAAATAAATACCTCCTCTTCATCCCTCATACGAATTTTGAACAGTTTTCTTGCTTCACTCTCACCACCTTTCCACTGATTAATTCTCATTAGCTGCTCTGGCAATTCTGGCTCTTTTCCTAAAATAATGATTCTGATTGGTCAATTTATGTCACATGATATTTCCACTGATTGATTCTCATTAGCTGCTCTGGCAATGCTGGCTCTTTTCCTAAAATAATGATTCTGATTGGTCAATTTATGTCACATGATATTTCCCCTGATTGATTCGCATTAGCTGCTCTTGCAATGCTGGCTCTTTTCCTAAAATAATGATTCTGATTGGTCAATTTTTGTCACATATTTCCCCTGATTGATTCTCATTAGCTGCTCTGGCAATTCTGGCTCTTTTCCGAAAATAATGATTCTAATTGGTCAATTTTTGTCACATGATATTTCCCCTGATTGATTCGCATTAGCTGCTCTTGCAATGCTGGCTCTTTTCCTAAAATAATGATTCTGATTGGTCAATTTATGTCACATAATCTTTCCATTGTTGATTCTCATTAGCTCCTCTGGCAATTCTGGCTCTTTTCCTAAAACAATGATTCTGATTGGTCAATTTATGCTTTTACAATGTCATTCCTCTTTCTCCCATAAATATAAAAATATAACAACATATCTCATTAACTAAATGTGTAGAATTTCTCAGCCTTTTCAAACACAATTTCTCCAAGTAAGAATAAGGTTTACCTAGTTTCTCCAATGAAGGAATGGAATGTCTTTCATCGTGATCTGGCTCAACTGGAAGCTTTACACTGATGAATGAGTGTCTCTCTGTAGGGCGAGGCGGCGGACCAATCAGACTGGTGATAGCGTTAAACTTTTCATAAGTCAGAGGGGGCATACCACCATTCTCAGATATAATGCTGAAATTTTTTATAAAAAAATTATAAGATTTTGATGTTTAGAATTATCTTTTGCAGTAAAAGCAATAATGTTAGGAGTTAAAATTTAAAACTCTTACTCTTTTGGGTTCCATAGAGTGTGGCCGATTTTCTCAACACATTCAATTCCAGCGCTTTTGCAAAAATCTCTCACAAGGGCATCACGGTTCTGCCAGATAGGCTCTGGATCTTGTTCAAAGCAAATTTTTGTCACACCCCATTCCTAGAAACAAAAAAAATATAAAAAACAAAAATTATGTTATTATGTGATATCTCTATAAGAAAAAACAAGGCACAGGACGTGAACGAGATCACACCATCAAATAGGCAGACACTATGCACCAGGAAAACTGTTCTCCTATTATGTTTACAAATTTCAAGAACAGCTCTAGTACTTGATATCCTCTATCATTTGTGTAAATTTGAAGGAAATCCGATGAGCGGTTTTCCTGAAATGGCGATGACAAGATTTTTCGAAAAACCTTCAAAATGGCCACCAGAAAACAAGATGGCCGCCCAAAAGTTAATCAGCTCTAGTACTTGATATCCTCTATCATGTGTGTAAATTTGAAGGAAATCCGATGAGCGGATTTTCTGAAATGGCGATGACAAGATTTTTCGAAAAACCTTCAAAATGGCCGCCAGAAAACAAGATGGCCACCCAAAAGTTAATCAGCTCTAGTACTTCATATGGTCTATCATCTCTGTGAATTTGAAGGAAATCCAATGAGCGGTTTTCCTGAAATGGCGATGACAAAAAGCGGGACGATCACGATCACGACCACGACCACGACCAGTATGACGACTATATCCCACCGATGGTGTGATAAAAACATGCCTGTCATGTCTTTTAAAGATCTGTAGTCTGTTAGTGTCCTCTTTATTTGAAGATCCCTTAATTAAAAAAGGCCTAAACAACTCTTGTACCATAATTAGGAAGGCCTAAACCACTCTTGTAATATTGGTATACACTCCTTAGTCTTCTGATCTATGAGCAATATCTTGGAACCTCATCAAATGGAATAGTACCTCGAGTTTTGATAGTGTTCTGAGTGTTTTTTGGGCTCCCAGTTCAGATCTTATTAAATCTTACTATTTCGTATCTGTATTTTTTCATGTTTACTGTATTCGCCGTAATAAGCCCCCAGGGTGCTTTTGAAATTTAAATTCCCATTGTAACCCATTACAAAGAGCGCCCATATATGAGAGAAGTCAAAAATCCCAAGGAATTTGATGTATGGGAATTTTTCTTGCCAAAAATGCCTTATTTGCGGTGAAAGTAACAGCATATTTTTACAATAATGATATGTATCGTTATTGGAGAGAATACGGTAAAGATCGCTAAAATAAAGCAAGAATCTAACTATGTTGACAGTGAAGAACTCCCCAGCAGAGCCCCTCGAGGTGAAGGAATTGTTTTCCGCGATTTTCTTCAATATGTCCATTATAGACTGTTAGATATCGATCTAAAGTTATACCTTGTTTTTTTAATTGATGACAGATCATCATTTTTCGTATAAAAGTCATGTAAAAGTCGAGAAATCTTAAAAAGAAACAAAAAAGTTCAGGACCTTGACATGACCTTGATGATCACTAAGTTAGTAAAATGTTGAAACAAAACTCTGAAAAGTGATCATTTCCTTCATTCATTATGGATTATTTTGAGATAATATTACTTTAGTATGATGTGGGAAGCACCCACTGATGCATAGATTTACAAAATGCGTCATGTTTTCTGCATTTTAGTAATTCTTTAAAACTTGGTCATTCCTCGTTTTTTCTTGAACTCTGTGAAGCGGGGTAGGCGCTTATTAGGGGTGGGCCCTTAATACGGCGATTACGGTATGTGTTTGGCAGTTCTTTACTATACATTTTAAGAAAAACAATGCATTCTCCGAATTGGGTATCCTAAAAAGGTGATTTTGGAGTTGTCCATGGCGAGATGAATAAATAGATTGGTTCAATTCAAGACTCCAACGATTTTTTTGACTTCAAATTGGTAAAATTTTCATTAAGTCATAGATGAAGCCAATGTACAGAATCCTAGAAAAAATTATTTATTGCAAGAAATATTGAAAGATAAAAAAGAAAATTGAAAATTTGAGAAAATAAAAAATTGACCTAGATTTTGAATTTGACCCAAATTTTGAATTTGACCAACATAAAATGTTGACATAATTTCCCAGAAAGTAAATCACATATTCTAACTGATGGTATATAAATAGATTTACTGTAAGTCTTCTAGTTACTAAGAAAACATGCTAATAATAATAAGAACAAGAAGAACTCAGGCAAAAACAATAGACTCCAAATTTTCAATCTGAAGTTTAATAATATGTTACACAATAAAAATTCCAGTTCAATCATTTTTGTCACCTATGCTTAGGTCACCCTGATATGCATTTTAAATGACACATTGAAATTCCAATTTATATTTAGGCATTATAAATGATTTAAATGCTTCAACTGAAAAAATGCTTTCATACTTTTGTTATTAGATACTTTTGTTATCCATTAGACTTACGAGGGGTGATCCAAAAGTCTTGGACGCCCCGCTCTAACTTTGCTATTTTTTAATATAATTACATTAAACTTTCAGATAATAAAGATCAACATCTTAACAACTTTATGTATAAGTTTCAACAGAAAATGATATATTTTAGCTACTTTTCTACATATCTTTTAATACCGGGTCCCTGCCACCCGGAACGGTATTTAAATATAGCAAATCACGTCACAACTGTTATAACATGGCAAATACTGTAGGTGCAGGTGCACAACCTAACACCAGCCATGATATGAAAGAATTTTCTATTTTCAGTCGAGTGTCATCTGCCATCATCATCTTTACATATTAAGACCCACTTTTCAACATATTTTCCACGAAATTTAACACATTTTTCATACCACTTTACCAATGAATGGAAGACATTTATGAAACCGCCATTGCTTATGTGATACAAATGCTGCTGGAGTGCTACTCTAAACCTCATTCAATGAGTAAAAAACATTTTCTTTCAACCCTCCTTTCAACTTGGAGAAAAGGAAGAAAATCACATGGAGCCATAGATAGACTGTATCATGCATATGGTAGCTGCTCAAGGTCAATAAATAATAGTGAAAATATCTTGTAGTATTCTTTGTTCCACTTTGATTTCTTTCGTATTCTGCATTTCAGCAGCCATCTTGCAGGAAAAAATGATACCGGAATGAGGGTTGCTTGTCTGATGGCATTTTCTTAGAATTTGACATGTGCGGCCATTGTCATATGTGACATTATAATTAAAACACAATTAATTGGTTGCCTAGTAATAAAGGAAGTAAACTAACATGGTTTAACATTCAAAATTCAAAGAAATATAGTGGTCAAGACTTGCGAAACAAGTGAAATGGCGGTAACATTTAAGGCTGAAAGTTGCCATGTGCAAATACCGTTCCGGGTGGCAGGGTCCCTGTATTTAAAACTGTCTAGAAAACTATATAAAATATACCATTTCTCCATGAAAGTAATACACAAACTAGTTAGGTTGTTGGTCTTTATTATTGGAAAGTTTAAAGTAATTTTATCAAAAACCAACAAAAAAAGAGTAGGGCGTCCAAGACTTTTGGATCACCCCTCGTATTTTCATCAATTCAAGAAAAATGTTTTGCATCAACAAATTTATGTGTAATAAAAAGTAAATACACAAACTTCCTTATTCACACAATACATTTCTTAGTAAACATTAAGGCATACATAGAACTAGAACTTTATTATGAAATAATAAACAAGAAGAGACGGTACAATTACGGATATTGCTACAATCTGCTACGGGTATATAAAGTTTGTGTATTTACATATATTTAATTCTGATTCAGAAATAAACAAAAGAGAAGATCAATTCTTAAAATCGCGGATTCGGTAGTATTGAATCTCTAATAAAGATGGCGCGAAAGTTTTTCCTTATAAGGTCAAAATATTTCCCATGATGCAGTTCGCGGGGGAACAAAATTTTTCTACCTTGTTTTTCCCCGTTGGTTTAACATGGGGATTTTCATACCCATTTTTCAAGCGATATTTTCGATCGAATCTCCATGCGATCGGAGAAAACAAACTATCAGAAACAATTAGTCTTTTAATAATCTTTATATAACATATATTTTTTTTCATTTTATTGGCTCCTAACGGGGTGAAAACAATGATTGAAAATGGGAGTATATTCCGGAAGAGAAGAAGTCACGTGACTAGTCGCCATATTGGAAAAAGCAATTCCATTCGACTTTCAACACGTTCATGCCAATATTACCGCACTACAAACTGTAACATCGATGCAACAACTGAATAAAAGTACTCATCTTCATATTACATTATAGAGTTACGTTGAAAACCCACAAACAACTGAGCATTTGACCAAAGAAGACACGTCGCTATTATCTAGGTCAAGTTTAGTGGTTCGAAAGCAAATCTTACATACTCGTTTCCGAATTTTGTTGTTAATTGTATAATCTTTTATTGATTAAATCTGGTATACTGACTATTAATTCAATGACAAAGAAGAAGAATTCCGATGGTGTCATTTTTTTATTTAGCTTGCGGGTGTAAAAACAAAATTGCGTAATTAATTTGATTTAGAACTTTCGGGTCTCACAAATAGCTACACGAAATGCATCGTTGAAAAATATTGACCAATCAAATTTTGTCCTTTTTGAGTACATATATGCACCATATATGCGAACGTTCTGATTCAAAGAGCGAACAGCGAAATGGAGAATTAAGAACTGTTTTAGTGTTTCAAAGTGTATTCGTCATTTTCATGAATTTGATTTTTATTTATTTTTTCTTGTACTTAATCTATCCATAATAAGTGCTAGAAAATCTTCATTTAAATGAAATCATTATTTATTTATTCTTACTTTTAATCATTCAATATAATAATGGAGTTTCATTTACATAATTTATTAGTAGTTTGCCAAAGTAGTATCACAATGGCATCTTAAGCGCTCTAGCTGTGGGAGGAAAAACACTGAAAGATCAGGGGGTTCTGAAATCAATGAATTAGTGGATATTTTTACAAGAACACAAATGTGTACAATATGTCCCCACCAATGGGTGGTCCTATATTTTTTGGTTATTGTCGCCAATCCACATCCTATTGGCACCTGTATAATCCTCATTATCCTATGCCGAGTAGAGTTTTAGGGAGATAAGTTGGTAAGATATATCCTGTATCCTGATTTTGAGGTTTCCATATCCAGAACCTCCATATCTCCCACTTCAGTGCATATCTTCCCGCTTTGGTGCATATCTTCCCGCTTCCGGTAAGTAGTGGAAATGCAATAAAATGACTTTGCATATAATGATTTGTTTATTTTTACACCTTGTACTATTGAAATGGCCATATGCCCCTGAAAACTCTACTTGGTATAGGATAAAGCAATTATGTACGGTCAGTTTGGATATTGGGTTCATCCCTCGTGAGATATGCACATCTACCTTCGGTCCCTCAGGTAAATATGCATATCTTCCTCTGGATAAACCCCATATCCAAAACCTCCCAGTACATAACCCTTATATCTTCTCACAGTATCTTCTGTTAGTATATTGCACTAGTTTTAGAATTTTGGTCAATTTTTGGCAGCTGGTTTTACAGAACTTTTCTTGGAGCCAATGATATATCTAAAGGACGATTCTCGGTTTGGAGAACAGTCTCCTGGGCTAATAATTTTTTTCATGAAAAATATAGAAATATTACCCAAATTAAACTATGAATATTCAAAAGTGGACATTTAAATCTACAAGATGTAAAAATAACAAATTGGTCTGAAGCAGAGATAACGCTCAATAAGACCGATTCAATAAAATACAAGTCTCGATTTGGGGAAAGAAGTTCATCAGTGTACTGCGGTAATATTTTTTGCGCATTTAGTTCTCCAAACCGAGAATCGTCCTTTAATTGGCTGTTTATGCATTTTAATTGAAAGATGAATCCTTGGTATGATATTTTGTTCTTCTCCCAGTTCAATCTTGAATTTTGTTTTCATTGTCTCTTTGATTTCTTCCACTATATCTTCTTCTTCTTTATCTTCTATCCTTTGATAGGTGTCACTTCCAATTTTCTCTTTAATCTTCTTTATGTAGTATTGAATTTGTTTCACATAAACCCAATGTTATTTGCTGTCTTATCAATAGGTACAATGGCATATTTTTCCTTGAGTTGATTGTGTTCTTCCAGAGCATTATGGTCCTTTAGTGTCTGCTTTGGATTTTTAATGTACAATGTATCTAAATTTTGTATTTTGAAGTAACAATATGGCCCCACACTATGTGCTGGGGGGATAACAAGAACACAGGGGATAAAGCAGTAAAACAATTTATGAAGTTAAACAAGTGGGCCTTTTAGGTCATTGCTGGGCCTTTTAAGGCCTTATTTTTCATTTAAGGCCAAATTTTGAAGAAAATGGGCCTACCAAAAAAATTTGGGCCCACTTTTTGGTTTTAGGGGAAGTTTTTTCCCAGACCTGGAATTTGGCCCCCCACTTGTTGAAATCCTAGATCCGCCCCTGCTATTAACATAAAATATATCTGGTAGGATAAAAATTACTTCATTGTATTTCAGACTCTACAACATGCATCCTCAAACAAGTAAAATGCTGCTGTACATTGTCATCTTATTGGCTTCATATCTTGATTTGACACACGAGGAAAACAAAAATGGGATGATGTTTTTCCAAAATGAGATGATACCTTCCGAAAAAGTGACAATATCTTTCAAAGAAGAGTCACTCAAGTTTGAAAGCATGTTATAGGCCATCAGCTTCACCCCAAAATTTAGGTTATCGGTATCAAATCAGGGGAATAATCGCCATAGTGATTTTTGGGAAGGTTAAGACCTCTAGAGTAAGAAACTATGTGATAGCATTGCAACAGTTGTAGCTAAATGGGTGTTATCACCCATTTTTCAAAATGGCCGCCGGTGCACGTGTTACAATATAACAGTGGGTATATCTAAGCACACTGAGATGCAGAAACTGATTTTAGGGCCTATGTTAGGGTTTTGGGGTCAAGGATTTCATTCATGCCGAAATCTAAGTCATCAGGCAATTACTTTTTATAGAAATCCAAGATGGCCACCAAAATGGGTGCCAAAACGAATACTGGTATGTAAACATTGATTTAAGCTCGAAGAACAGTTAAGAACAGTGATTTTGGAGATCATGTTACAGTTCTAGAGTCAAGGATTTCATTTATGTCTAAATCTGAGTCATCAAATAATTACCTTTTTCAAAGAAATACAAGATGGCCACCAAAATGTATGCCAAAATGAATACCGGTATGTAACCATTGATTTAAGCTCGAAGGAGAGTTAAGAACAGTGATTTTGGAGATCAAATTACAGTTCTAGAGTCAAGGATTTCATTTATGTCTAAATCAGAGTCATCAAACAATTACTTTTTATAGAAATCCAAGATGGCCACCAAAATAGATACAAAAATCAATATGTAACTATTGATTTAAGCTAAAAGAACAGTTAAGAACAGTAATTTTGGAGACTCTGTCTATTTTGTAGGGACCAAGGATTTCATTTATGTCTAAATCTAAGTAATAGAATAATTACTTTTTATAGAAATCCAAGATGGCCACCAAAATGGGTGCTGAAATGAATATGTAACTATTGATCTAAGCTCAAAGAACAGTTAGGACAGTGATTTTGGAGACCATGTCCAGGTTTAAGAGGCCAAGAATTTCAATTTTGTCTATAATTGAGTCATAAAATAATTCCTTTATTTTGATATCCAAGATGGCCACCAAAATGGCTGCAAAGTCACGATTTTGAGGGCTGACTAAAATGTTTATCTTCATCAAACTCTTTCTGGTGTATGATACACTTGTCTTTGAGGAATTTCATGTGCTTGATCTTCTCCATCCAATAATCTACTTCTTCCTATAGGCAGTCTACTTCTTTCTATAGTCAATGTTTATGATACTGAGCCACAACAAAACTAAGGAAAGGAAGGCAAATTACAGTAATATTGCTAATGCGATGATCATAAGATTTTATTTCGCAAATTTTCATGTAATTGTTTGTTCTTATTTGACCTTTTATAATATTAACACTTTGGCATCCATCTTGAATTCTGATATTAATCACAGATTGTTTCATGGCATAGTTCTAGATAACTGAAATTCTTGACCTTAAAGTAAACATTGCTTCCAAAATTATTGTTCTTGGTGATCTATGTGGTTAAATAGATAGTTATATGATTTCATTTTACAGCTATTTTGGAGGCCATCTTGGATATCCATATAAATAAAATGTTTGTTGATTTTATTAAAGACAAAATTAAAATCATTGAACTCACAAACTTAAAACATCAAAAATTAATGATCTAACTCTTCTATATGTTTAGATAATAAATCTTATTTTCACTTCCGCAGCAATGTTTGAAGCCATCTTGGATCCAAATAAAGGAATTAGTTATAGTTTTAGACATAACTGAAATTCTTGACACCAAAAATCTTGACATGGTCTCAAATTACTGTTATAAATTGTTCTTTGAGTTTAAATCAAAATTAACTTGTTATTGGCACCCATTTTGGTGACCATCTTGGATTTCTATGAAAAGCAACTATTTGATGACTCAGATTTTGACATAAATGAAACATTTGACACCTAAAACCTTGACATTGTCTCCAAAATCACTCTTCTTAACTGTTCTTTGAGCTTAAATCAATAGTTAAATATTCATTTTGGCACCCATTTTGATGGCCATCTTGGATTTCTATATAAAATAATTGTTTGATGACTTAGATTTAGACATAAGTCAAATCCTTGACCCTTTAAACCTAGACATTGTCTTAAAAATCACTGTTCCCAACTGTTATTTGAGCTTAAATCAATCAGTTAAATATTCATTTTGGCACCCATTTTTGTGGCCATCTTGGATTTCTATATAAAGTCATTGTTTGATGACGCAGATTTAGACATATATGAAATCCTTGACCCCTAAAACGCAGACATACTGTTCTTAACTGTTCTTTGAGCTTAAATTTGATTTGGCATCCATTTTGGTGGCCATCTTGGATTTCTATAAGAAACAATTGTTTGATGACTTAGATTTAGACATAAATGAAATCCTTGACTCCTAAAACCTAGATATAGGTCCTAAAATCACAGTATTTGCATCTCAGTGTGCTTAGATATACCCACTCTTATATTGTGACTTGTGCACCGGCGGCCATTTTGAAAAATGGGTGATAACACCCATTTAGCTACAACTGTTACAATGCTATCACATATTTTCTTACTCTAGAGGTCTTAACCTTCCCAAAAATCACTATGGCGATTATTCCCCTAATTTGATACCGACCAACCCCCCAGGCTGATCGCCTATTACCAGAACATCCAGTCTGTCCCAAGCAATGCCAGATATGCAATGCAACACATGTCTTCTGTGTGAATAAAGACTTCACTAGCATCCCTCAAACATTCCCTCAGACTATAGAGTACCTGGATCTATTTAACAATATGCTGAATGATATCCCTGGAGGTGTTTTCAACAGGTACCAGGAACTATATTCACTCAATATCAGCCAAAATGGCCGTATGGAAACAATACATAACGACTCATTCAATGGACTGAAATCTTTAGAGCACCTAGATCTGCAATATCTTACAAGCTTGAAGAAAATTGCTCCCCATTCCTTTAGTGCCCTAGCTTCTCTCAGGCACTTGGACTTAAGGGGCAGTTATGAAGTGGGATTGAAACAGATACTCTTGAGATTGAGATCATTACCGATGAACTGTACCTTGGATTATTTAAATCTAAAACATGTGAATGAAGTAACTGATTTTGAAGATATATCATTGCCCATCTTGAGGGTTTTAAAAAGGCTGCAAGTAAAAGTGCTGATTCTGGATGAGAATCGTATTGTTTCTATTCGTCCTGGTTACTCAGAGTATTTAGGTTCAGTAAAATATCTCTCCTTAAGAAGGAACTACCTTCATTTTTATTCTGGGTTTGCTAATTTTATTGATTTCCTTTTTATGTATAGCGTGAAAGTTCTGCACCTTGGAGATAATTCATACATACCTCTTAAAAATAAACCAACATTAAACAATACCTTTTCACAAACCTGTACACCATTACCGCAAGATATGGAAGAAGTCTATTTTAACAACATGCAGGTCACAATCTATTACAAGCTGTATGTCAATGGTCTTTGCTTTGGAGAGCCTAATAAACTACGTATATTTGACTTGACAGGAACATCATTCTGGGGGATTGAAAAGCCAATTAAAGGTTGAATGCTCTTACATATTTGAGCCTTCAAAAGGCAAAAGCCAAATTTATGGACCCTGAAACTTTCAACTGTAAAAATTTCCCTTTAATGGAAACTTTACTTCTTGGTGACCTTGACTTATCTCCAACATTTGGAAGAGAGGACAAACATTCACTTATTTTTCAAAATTGTTCCAAAATGGTCACCATTGATCTTGCGAACACTAACTTTCCAATTATTCCAAAACAAGCTTTTCAGGACATGTCTATAGTAGAGAATATAAACATCAGTTCAAATTATATATTGGAACTGGATATTGACCTTAAAAATAACTTGAACTTGAAGTTATTAAATGTGTCTTTCAACCTTGTTAAGTATTTGTCACCTGATATGATGCATCAACTTGATAAAATTGCTAATCAACCAGATCATGATCTAGTGCTTGATCTTCAACACAATCCACTACTTTGTGGCTGTGAACAATTGGAATTCATTAAATGGATGAAATCAACAGCTGTAAGTTTCCACAACTTTGACTCGTATTTGTGTCTCAACAAAGACATTTATCACAAAGTATCAACATTATCAATAAGTGATATCCAGTTACAATGCAAAATGGAGGTCATCAAGATTTCGTCTTCCATTAGTGCCACATTTCTGTTTATCATCATGATGGGTGTGGTGCTTTACATGAAACGCCATAGAATGGAGTACCTTTTCTTGTTGAGCAGACAAATGGCCCGTAGATTGATTGGCAGAACACGATCTAGAGGTAACAGACTATACAAATACCATGGGTTTGTATGCTGGAGCAGCCAGGAAGATATCTCAATAATTGTGTTAATTCAAGGAAAACTGGAAATGGATTTCGGACTTCGCCTTGCCATTGGTGATCGGGATTTCGAAGTAGGTGGCTATATAATTGACAATATTGTACATTTCATCACAGCAAGTCGTAAAACAATCATATTTCTGAGTAACAACTATTTGAACAGCAAATGGTGTATGTTTGAGCTACAAGTTGCAATGAACAAGAGCCAAGAGGTAGAGTTTGACACAGTCGTAATGATTCTTCTTCATGATATCAACGATTTAGACAAGACAAAGATGCCACCAAGCCTGACAAATTATTTGAAGCGCAAGACATATCTACAATGGCCGGCATCCTCTGCACAGCAACCAGCCTTCTGGCTACGTCTAAGGATGCTCTTGATTTTGGAGAAATACAGAATGATCAGCTTTTGGTTGTCAATCCTGGAGAAAATAACCCACTTGAACAAAATGATGGGTCCCATAATATAGATGTAAGGGAACAAAATGATCAGTCATTGGTTGTCAATCCAGAAGAAAATGATCAGGTTGAACAAAATGATGAATTTCAAATTGATGTGGCATTAGATGAACAATCTATTGATGAGGATATAACTGATAGAGTACCATTACTGAGGCTAAAGTAACATTAAAGGATTTAAGCCCAAGGGTCAATGAACTGTGGAAGATTAAGCCTAAAGGTCTTGAATAAATTTTGAATGAGGGCGGGAGAGCAAAACAAGACTAGAGTATGTGACACAATAGCAAGTGCATTAAATCATCTACAAATTGTTGACTCATGTGCTTAAATTCTTTTCATCCATAGCTAAAGATTCTGGACAATATTACTAAAAAGAAGTCAAACATGACCGTTCTCTAATTGAGTCTCTAAACCAATTAGAATGCAGCATTGCCATTCTCTAATTCTCCATACATGAATGATCATGCATAATGCACATCCGGGAATTGTATTGTGATGTTTCATCTATGACTCTGTCTGAAGCTGAATTTCACCATATTGAATTAAATTCAACCAGAAACTTGCATGGTTACTATTTTGGCTCATAACTTCTTTCTTTAAAAATAATTTATCCTTAAAATGAGTTAATGAGTTCTGATTGGCAGGAATATGGTATCATGCCTAATTATATGTGAAAAAAATAATTTTAAAAACAAAAAATAACACAATTTACATTTCTTGGGCTCTGTAAAAAAAACTTTTTGTTCTCTTCAAAATAATGACATGTAATTCAGAAGCATGTAAATATTGTTTCATGGTCAGGTGACCATAAGCTTTGAAACTTAAATGTACCATATAATCTCAGTTTTAGACATTTAAAGAAAATGGATTAAGTAATATGTATATATGCCCCACAATAAATCATTATGTCATTATGTGTATGTTTTGTTGAGATTATATACATGCTAAGTACCACAAAACAAGACTCATGACGTCAAAAAGATCACACCATCAAAAAACTTTCAAAATGGCAACCCCAAAAAATGGCTGCCTAGAAGTTAATCAGCTCTAGAACTCGATATCCTCTATCATGTGCGCTTTGGAGACAATCTAACAAGCAATTTTCCTGAAATGGCGATGACAAGATTTATCGGAAAACCTTCAAAATGGCCAACAGAAAACAAGATGGCCGCCCAAAAGTTAATCAGCTCTAGAACTTGATATCCTCTATCATGTGTGGAAATTTGGGAAGAATCTGATGAGCAGTTTACCTAAAATGGCAATGACAAAATTTTAAAAAAACTTCAAAATGGCCACCAGAAACAAGATGGCTGTCCAAAAGTTAATCAGCTCTAAAACTTGATATCCCCTATCATGCGTGTGAATTTGGAGACAATCCGACGAGCAGGTTTCCTGAAATGGCAATGAGAAGAATTTCCGAAAAACCTTCAAAATGGCCACCAGAAAACAAGATGGCCACCCAAAATTTAATAATCAGCTCTAGAACTTGATATCCTCTATCATGTGTGCAAATTTGGAGAAAATCGGATTGAGAGGTTATGCTGAAATGGAGATGACAAGATTTTTGTCTTGACATATCAAAATTCAACAAAATCAAAAAACTAAGTCTTAGTTAGAGCAAAAAAGTAAATGACAGCCATTCTCTTTACCCCCAAATTTGTTTGACGAAATAATAAAAAAAAACATACCTGATGAATTTCTCTAAATACATCGACTGGTTTGCCATATAAAACATATAAGCGACCCCCAGCATCTTTGAACTGCCTATCTAGGTCTTCTAAGCATTCTAGTAGGAACCTGGTGCGGTTATAACCTGAAGTGCTGGTACCTATAAACACCCAGATTTTAATTGGTACAAGATACATTTAATTCATGAACATACAATAATGCAGTTTTTCACCATTTTGAGCACTTTTTAAGTGATAATGGCCATTTTGGGCAAAAGATGCCAAAAATGACCCCCTGGAATTTTTCAAAAAGTAAACCCCCATTTGGCAAATCCAGGATATGGGCCTACTGCCAAGTATGCTCAGGGCTTTCACTCTAGGCTTTTAGATTGTGGCGCAGAACCACACTCTAGCTCCCACCACAACCTATTTGCAAATCACAGATACTAGTTTTCTGCATGAAAAAAATCAAAATTCTGCAAAAAATTCTGCAAGAGAAAAAGCAAATTCTGCAAGGAGAAAATCGAAATTCTGCACAAATTTTCAAAAAAAGTCCAAATTCTGCAATCTTTTAAAACGATGAAAATTGACGTAGCAACGGAAACGGAAGTCAGCTACTTTCTAGGTAAGAACTGCGCGTCATTAGCAAACTCGCTTTAGCGAATTTAAACGTGATAGAATGTTGAATTTCACGGTGAAATCGTACTTGTACTCAATAATGATTGATTATTGGACATAAACAGACACTCTTCAAATACCCCGCAAAGCACAGTCAGAGAGAATGTTTCTGGCGAAAGGAGATTCTGGGATTTCAAATACAATAAGTTGGGAATCCAGAATGAAAAAATGAAGTTACCTTTTTTAATTCCCGAATCTCTCCGAAATTAGCTCATCTTGGTGACTGTAAATTGCACAGCTGTATTCAATGGAGTCTTGTCATATTCAATCAGCCTCAATTTTAAAGTGTATATTTTATTTTTAACGTGATTTCATCGTTTTTTGTCGACTGGTAAGAATCCGCAGGGCAAATGGCAAGATGGATGACTTTTGACCTGACCTTGACCGATGGCGGTGACGTCATCAATTTTATCTCGACGTTGATTGGTTAAATGATGATTGTTTGGGAAATTTGAATTTAGTTATCGTAACCTCCCGTGACCTCCCGAATAGGTCACGTGACCTTGTGCCAGAAGTCCGACTTTTTGGTCAGTCGACCTATTCAAAGTACATTTAGTAATAATTATCGCTTTTCAGAACAATTTAGGAAACAATATTTTCTATCTACGTCGATTACAAAGCATCTAAGGTACGTAAATTTATATGAACAACTGAGTCAATAGGGATAAATAGCCCCACGAGAGGCTGCGGTCTTGAAAAATACTTGGATCTGGATGCCAGTCCTGTTATTGATATCATTCCCGTTCGAAGAACGTATTAGATGTCCGTGCCGCAAAGGTAGGAGATTGTCATATATGTAATTTCTGGTAATTCCGCGGGATTTTCATGAAAATCAGGGATTCTGCAAAAAATTGAAGTTTTGTCAAATTCCGTCCACGTCGCTGAATTACGGAATACTAGTATCTATGGCAAATCATGATTCTTTCCAGTCTTAACTTCGACTAAATACACAATAACAGCATGTAAAAAGGATAACTATAACATAAATACGATTTATCACGATTGACAGTCATACTGGAGATGTTTCCACCACACCCTAAATATTTCCTAGTGAGAGTGCTGCATATCGTCCCATGCCTTAGCTATTTACCACAAAGCATACTCACAGTATCATAAGATCTGTCAAGTACCCATGATAAATGCAATTTTAAGATGCATTGTCTGTTAGATGGGTCTGTTTTGTAACCCATCGATTTCTATATATTATAGGAGCCAATAAATTCTATGCAAAATGTCTGCGCAAAATCTGATGTCCTTTAAATCTCAAATTCTAATATTCATCTCCATAAAATAGATGTTAAGTTCATATAATAAAAATCACTAACCAGCAACTTGTCCATCAAATATGAACACTGGGTAGAGTTTCTCACAATCTTTGATTGCCTCTTGTAGTGCAGGGTTATCATGTAGGCGCAGACCATGACGGAACCACAAGATACTACATCCAGGCTTTGTAATTGAATCATCGCCAGACTGTCCTCTACCCATCTTGAAATATTAATTATTGATTATTGATATTGATTATTTGTTATAATGTCAATCAATTATAGGTTTTGATAGATCCATGTCCATTTTATAAAAGGTAAACCTTGTCACACTTTTTCTGTTTTTGCTCAAACTTTTGAGAACATATTTCTTTTACACTGGTGATCCACTTAATTATGCAGGTTACCAAAACGGTTTGTTTCGGTAAAAAAAAATGTCGGGTCATCGAAGGTATGATTTTTTTTTTCCTTATTTCACACATTGTAGGCAGAATTCCTACGACATTTTTATCACAAACGTGTATCAGTATCATATATTTAAGAAAATGTACATATTTGCAAACAAATAGTTCAGAAGACAACAGAATCATCGATTTAATTCCTCACTTAAGTTACATAAACGGGATTTCGAAAAACAGTTAAGATCTGCACTTTTAACCCATACCGTTTATGTAACTTAAGTGAGGAATTAAATCGACGATTGTGTTCTATTCTGAGCTATTTTTTCGCAAACATGTACCTTTTCCAAAACATATGATACTGATACACGTTTGTGAGAAAAAGCGTCATGAAGATTCTGCCTACAACGCGTGAAAAAAGGAAAAAAGGAAAAAAGAAAAATCATACCATCGACGTTCCAACATTTTGTTACCGAAACGACGGTTGACCGAAACGACTGACATTTTTGGCCCTTTTTGACCCAATTTTTTTATTCCCTGAAATTTCCAGCAACTGGAAAAATAAATCAATTTCCCTGACATTTCCAGGTATGTACAAACCCTGACTATTGGTTCTTTCCTTTTCCATTGAAATCTACTTCCTCCGAGACATTTTGGGAAAAACCAGTACAAACTCAAAGATGTTTCATAAACATATTCGTAAACATTTCGACCTTGAAAAGAGTAATGTAAACTTGCCTGTATTTTTGTAAAAGCTCTTAGCGAAGACGTCTTAGAATGCTAATAAGTAATATTAGCTTTGCTATCTTCTTGGCATAATGATTTCTAACAGGATATCTCTAAGTATCGAATTATAAAGCACATGGCTTCCCATGTGAGACATAATAACTAATTTGTAATTTGTAGCCAATGAGATATTGCAACAATAAACCTGCAAGGCACAGAAAACAATGAATAACTTGAATATGTTTTTTAAATCATGAGATAACCTTTTACTGCGCTGATTACGATTACTATACCTCCGTGTTTACACTACACAGACAATTTTTCACAGATGTTTTAAGCCCTAACTCAGGCCTGTTAACTTGGGAATACCTAAAATGAGTGACTTACAAATGTTGAACACCTTCCTTCAAATTGTGGACACCTTGGTTCAAAACTGAACACCTTTGTCCAAATATCGGACACCTCAATTTTTCAACTCGCTAACGTTAAAAAACTCTGTCAATGGGGAGGGGGGTATTTTTTTAAATATCAACATGACGCGTGAATTGTGTGACATTTTATCATTACATGCAAAATTGATGCGTGATTTCATTTTTCCCAGCAAATGCGTTATATTTACGCCTAACGTGTGAGGGTTGACAGGGCAGCTAACTGCAGAAAGCACTAAATATGGTTGATAATCTAGCCAATGTTGAAAAACGTCTAAAGGCAATCATATTGTATAATATTTGAAAGTTTTATTGAATAAATGAGAACTGAAAAAGAAATCTACAACATCAATACCTCATCGAGGACATCAGTAATAAATGCAGCAGTTTAAACTCAAATAATCCATTTGCTTCTCTTCTATCCAAATATGCCACGTCTCTTCGCATAATAATTCTCAAATTGTGATTTAAAGATTTGTCAATCCTGATTTAATGGGATCATCTTAATAACTATCACATCTTTATTCATCTAGTATTTACATTTAACAAGTATAAACATAATATGAAACATTTCTACACTCACTGTTATATAATGCAGAGCTTTTCCTTGTTGTTTTGATTAACAGTTAACTTTACTCTCCATCCCCATAGGCCTGCTTGATTGGAACTGAGGAATACAATCTCAATGCCACCTGAAAAAATGTTATGATAATTATGAACATCTACGTTCTCAGCATGTACATGTAACATCAGGGTGTTGATTATTATTTACGCTTATTATTTGGATAATTATATTTTCAATGTGTTTAATGTTTACAGCAACGAAGTGAAAATTGATTTAGCTTCTTCAAAAAAGAGCTTTATCGGTTTCCAGGGTTAATACTGACGTGAGACAGTTAATAAGTCATGTAGGTAATATGGCAACCATTGTCATAATACTTATATTACTTGACGCAATATTTCAGAATAAGAAAATATTAACATGACATGATACCATCTACAAATGGTTACAAAAATGTAACAATTGTTACATTTACTGACTGCCAATCACTGATGCTGAATGACAGTCACAAAAAACAGTGTATGGTTGTAACAATGTCACCAATTTATATAATTATGGTGGTGACAAAATTAGATGTTCAAACATACAAAAAAGTTGGACTTAAAAACGTGTAGATTGGGCTCCCTAATATATGGAATAAAAGACTGTTTCTTTGCTCTTTCTTTTGAAAGTTCATGTTCTCAGGAACACGGCACAACCTTTTTCAAATTGTATTTTATACATCCTTTAATGGGCATTCTTGGTGTTTTCAAAACTGCTGTGTTTGATGTCAAAACAATGTAGATGCAGCAATGAAAGTCTGAAGTAGATTTCAATTGAATCTTCTTTCTAAAACTGATCGAAATTAAAAATGACTAAGAATTGACAAATTCAGGGTGTTAAAGTCAACATAATTTCTGATGAATTTTTTATCTCAGTGGCCAGCTTTTAATCTGCATGTAAATTTCAATGTTTAACTTGCTATATTTTCTTTAGACATTAAAATTAGACATGGAATAACAAAAACCTTTCACATCTTTTTTTGGGGAAATTTCATTAGCTTACACTAGAGATGAGAAACAAAATGTCCTATAGGCCTACATGTATGTTAAATTGACCAAATCTCAGAAAAAACAAAAAGTTTGAACCTAGCTCTACCTCAATTATTATATGCGATATGTTTGTCCCAATAGAATCTTATATGATGAATTGTTAAACGAAGCCAAGCAGCCTCGCAATGAAATGGTGTAAGAATTTCTTTGATAAGGTAAGGAGCTCCAGATTTAGAGTTTTTCAGACTCTGAACTTTTGCAAAAAATAACATGGCGGGATAGATAAAGACCCAGAGGTAATGCATAATTCAGAATCTATCTTGAATGAACCAACCAAGTTCAGTAGGTTGAATCTCCAAAATTGTTGAAAATAGACCGAAAATGTCCTTAAATGTTATATTACGCTTCAATATGTAAATGCTATCGAACTCCTTTTTATATTTAAATGTGCCTTAGATATTTATACGATCAAAAAAGTACCATTAATACCTGAATGAAATGAATGATTTCAGTTCAAAAATAAAAATCTCCATCAAAGTTTTTGTGCTTGAACATGAAATTCTGTTCAGATCTCTGCCAACATGCATGCACAACTTTTTGAGCAATCTGATTTGTTAATCAAATGTAAACACTAGGAATCCCCAGAGATTTTCATCCAGTGAAAACAAAATTCACTTGAGGTTTAACTGGAGAATTTGTGAGATATCATTGGGTAAATGTTGTGATGTCTAAATGAGCACAATTTCAAGTCAGGGCTTTCAGTAATGCATCCTTAACATTAGGAGGACACGGATTTTGATGAAGCGACTCTAAATAAATTTAATGATCCATCTCTTGGATGCAAAGTCCTTCATTAACAAAATTGATAGTCTCACAAAAAGATCTACCCTTTGCCCCTAGTGCAAATTGCTTCAAGTACGAAAAGAAAATGTGTATTTAATGTTGAACATTAGTTATCTCTTTCAAGTGAAGGTACTTGTATCATTTATTGACATTCTAGACGATGTAGAACGCTGATCTAGGCCGATAAATAACAAAACTGGTTAGAAACTTTTCATCAATTTTTTCGTTCAGTGTAAAAAAGTGACTTTGAATTCCCGGGAACCTTTTTTCACGGGACACACTTTTTTGAGGGGGACTCACTTTTTGAAAATCAATACGTCCTAGAGACGCACTCTTGGACAAACCTACTGAAAGCACTGCAGGTGATTAAAATTATTACCATGGTTATTACAGAACAATCTTCGGACTTTTGAGATATGAAGCTCAGTATGAAGTTAGTTCTTTTATTATGATTGGATCACAATACATTATATGCTTATTGAGTTGTGGCTTGCTTTATTGACTTCTGTTTAGTCTTGACAAATTCCTGTAGATGGCCTCTGAGACACAATTATTATACGTCTATTCTCTTGCTTACCACCTTCATTTGTTCAAATTTTCACCAGCTATTTTCCAAATACTACACTTCGATGTGATGTTTTAAAATTTCAAAGTCTTTCAAAATTGAGCTAGAAGCTTCAAATAAAAACCATTTTAGATCTAAAGCTTTCTTCTTCTATCTAATGGTTTTATTTTTTATTGGTTATGGGGGGGGGGTGCGATCCACCAATCGCACACCAGAAATTACATATACAGTAAAACCTGTCCGATGGAATACCTCTCTGTAGGGAAAACCTATGAACAAGGAATGCTTTTCAAAAGAACTGAATATTTTTCCATTGACTTACATGTTAACGGACCCTCTCTGTAGGGAAAACCTGTGAACAGGGAACAAGGAACACTATTTTGGGGCAAATTATGAAAATTCACCTGTGAACAAGGAATATGGAATATTGGTGACACTGTATATTCCATTATTTTTCAGAGGTGTGAAAGTCTTAAGCCAATATCTGAATATAAAAAGCTTAGATATATGATTATGAGAACATGATTGAGATTAAGATAAGCCAATTGTTGACATGATGTAGCATCCCACCCACTGTTAATTACCCTGATTTATTTTAAAACTAATACTTATCTGTTTGTTACTTATTATCATGACACCAATTCTTCCTTTCAAAAACCTAATTACATCAAATCAGTTGTGATAATCTAGGGACTAACACAATTGTTTTATGGAGATAATAGATAGTAAGTACACGGTCATGTTGAGCCAAATCTCTTTAAATCTTTTACTGATCCAACTTCTAGATTATCAATGATATAAAATAGGGTTGCTGAAACTTGAAATTCTGTTCTTAGCAATATATCTCTACACATCATACCAATGATTACATCAACTAGACATCATCAGACACTAGAAGCAGCTAAAATCAACATTGGGAGAACGTAACCAAGCATGGAATCGGCATTTGTACAATCAATCAATATATATACAAATATTCTTATTCGGCAAGTTTGAGTTTGCTGAAAGTGCGGCCCCTCTCTATAGGGAAAACCTCTGAACAAGGAAACTTTCCTCCAGTCCCAAGAGCATTCCCTGTTCGCAGGTTTTACTGTAATTCAAACCGTATTTCAAACTGCCATTTTGACCAATCAGAGACATAAGTCACCTCAATACAGATTTACATTATAAGCGTAGGTCACCTTTGAACTCTGGGGTAATCCCCCCTGGACCTCTGACGACCATTGACCTGTTGTTCCTGTGTGTGTAAACTCACAGGAATTCGTCTAAAAGGAAAAAGAAGTCAATAGAGCAAGCCTTGACTCGATAAGCATATAAAAGTAAAAAGGAAGTTATCCTCATAAAGTTACAACATTTTGATCAAGGCCAAAAAATGCAGGGAAATGTAAAAAATATTCATACTGCAGCACCTCATTGGATAGGTTATTAGCACACAAATGCAATAAGATGAAGAAAATTGTGTCCAGAAGCCTTAATAGCGATATTTTGTAAAAAATGTGAAACTGACAAGTTTTTTCGAAAAACATAATCTACCCGTGTTTTGATAATTTTCTACCGATTACATTTTTCTTTTCTGACGTTATTTTGTCAGCTGTGACTTACCCGATTTTCCAGATCATTCACATATATTGACAACTTCCTATTGTTGTTGAAAATTATATCAATTTCCTTACGAATTTTACTTATGTTTCAGAAATATCCATCTCAACAAAACCATCATAACATCACAAATATTCATAGATTTCGCCATTGTAGTGACCCGGATGTTTACTCCCATACGTGGAAGTGCGGACAAATATTAGCTTCTGCTCGTACCACGTGATTGGGAAATCAAGAGAAAGTGATTTGTTGCACTGCGCGTATAAATCAATAACCCCAAGTGTGTTTGACTCAAATTTCTTTTCGCGAGATTTCATCATGGATTTTGATTTGGAAACCTAAAAGACTAAATAAATGTATTTCATGATATTTTAAAATAAATCTGAATTCATCAACGTTGAAAGGGGGACTGCATTCAACAATTTTTGATTATTCATTCTACTTGCTGCAGAGTTAATATACCAAGACACTGTCATGCATTACAACAATTTTCGTCCAGTGCAGTCGTGCCTATTTTCAACATGTTGGGGGCTGGATATTGAAAATTTCATTTCTAAGTATATTACTAAACGCAACACAGATGATGACACATATTGTACTTTTACAACACAGGATATTATAAAACAACTATCGATCAGCAAGTTTTATAAAAATAGGTAAGCAAACATCATAAACGTCAAGATAACGAATTTTTTTTCGGAAGCAAAATGTGTTTTACACACCCGGGAATTTCGCGTCATAATTATTCCTCCGCTAGAGGGGCTGCGAGCGCGCAGCCATTTTGCCGGTCAATTCGGGTCAAATATTGTCCAACTTTACACACGATTTTCTAGTAGTTGATGATGCCCTTTAACGTATGTAACGATTTGTATATAAAGCTTACATGTATCTGGATTAATATATTTTTATCCTGTGCAGTTTAAACAATCCGTTTTCTTCCAACTCTATAAGGAATTACATCACATTTTTTTCGAAAATCAGCGGTAAAACTTGACACATGTTAGCTATTTTTTCTCTAATTGTAATTTGAATTTTAAAATTCCGCCTCAGCCAAGACACAATTTGTATATTTAGCTCAAACATGTTTCAAATTTGATAAAGATTCATCCATAAATGAAAAAATGCCACCGGCGCAAAAAATGTTGTGTTTTCGTCAAATCTTTGCTGACGATGCGGTTTTTAGTTTACAAAGAAATTGCCCCTCCATAGTGAAGCCGTAACTTTACTAATATTGAACCTATCAACTTGAAATAAACAGGATTAAAATAAGCAATTCTTTAGAAACACGATGATATGTATCATGCCTATCTAACAATATATATTATGAAAGAAAATCATAGATTAAAACACCTATCTGAATAGAAAATTTCATTGCAAACATGAAAAACTGACGGGTTGTACTTATACGTCCGTGCGATGTTTATACACGTTGCATAGGACAAACAGCGCACCAAGCGGAGGAATAATTATGACGCGAAATTCGCGTGTGTGTTTTACGAATTTTTCAGAAAAAAATATCCTTCTACTACTTTTTTCAAGGCCTGACTGCGTCGCTAACATGCTAAATATAAGAGTTAGCTGACGTTTGGGAGTCTGAGTTACCTTCTAAAGGTTAGAACCCGAATCTTAATGAAACCATATCACCTTTGTTGCGTCGATGATGATGCATAAACATAGCATTTGATAGAAATTAGCGTAAATGCTTTTCCGACTTTTTCATTTTTCATCAATGTTGACTTCCGGGAAGGCGTTGTAGTTATCACGAAATAACGCATTGACCCTTGAACTTTACTTTGTTGATGTGTCAACCAAGCATGTCTGGTGTGAAAATTAAAAGAATATTAAGCAATGTTCTACATCCGCCAAGCTAAGTGAAGTAGTCAATATTTAAAATTACCAATTTCAAGTGAAGTACGCAACGAACGAAACTGCGTGATCTACACTCCCACTATTGGTCTGAATGAAATGCTACGTAGAAATAGTGCCTTACGGTAATGCCGGGTTGTCGGCAGCGGCAGTAGATACTCTCAATTGCCGGTAATGAAATCCATTGCCGATAATCGCCATGCTGCTACAACATGATGATTGGCATTGCGATCTATTGTCAAATTTACGAAACAATGATCGTTTAAGAATATTTTATCAATCATGTATATTTCAATCTCCACATTTGAAGAGCTAATCTGTCAATCAACTGCAAAGCATTCGTAAAAGGCGGGAGGATAAGCAAAACCCCACCCACTTCTGTCAATCATCTCCCGTGCCGCGAGATTAACAAATCACGTGACGTGATATTTCGGTGAAGTAAAAACAAACACAAATAGTTTGATCAATTTTGATCGAATTCACTCTATATTATCATTCAAAGACTTCCAAACGATACACAATCACACACGAGATACACGATGATACAATATATCCACTTTAGTTGATGTGAGCGGGAAATCAAGCTGAGAAATCGGCTTCGTTAAGGATTTTTCCAAATATTTTAGTTTCACTTTCAGGTTTTTCCCCGGGATTTTAGGAACATTATCAGTATCAACGATTATCGGTAACGGTAAGGTAATGGAGGTGAAATTTACCGGCAGTGAGATCCATTACCGTTGCAAGCACTACGTAGAAATATGAGCCGTCTGCTGTATTAGTCGATTAATAGAGTAAGACCTGTTGGTGATGCTTTATAATTTAGACCAAAACATTGGAGAACAAACGAACCTGTAAATCGTGAAAACAACGAACAAATATTCGGTTTTCACATATGTTCGGTAATTTTTCGTATTGAAACTTCCGGAACTTACAAGGAAATCATTCATTTTCTCGATCCATGATTTACCTCTTGGATGTTGTGGCAAATGCTCCATTGATGGAACAAAGGTGATATGGTTTCATTAGATTCGGGTTCTAAGCTTTAGAAGGTAAGTCAGACTCCCAAACGTCAGCTAACTCTTATATTTAGCATGTTAGCGACGAAGTCAGGCCTTGAAAAAAGTAGTAAAACTCTCGACTTGTATTACTCTGATCGCATGGGCATGTATATTTTTGTATTACTGTACAAATTATCTATCAAATGATGTACTTCATTGTTTTGAGATGACAAGGAATTTTTTATTTGATTTTTCAGTTGGTGTTTATTACAGGTACAGGTTAGACCCCTTCCCTGTATGTTCAAGTTACTTACATCACTGTTCTTGGATTTCTAGTCTCTTCTGGACATTCCTTTCATTTTTTTATGTACTTTGGAAGTGAATGCTACTATGAGAGACCAAAAGAAACCAAAATTACATAAAATAAGAAGTTGTCAATTTTGCATTATCCGGGCATTATGGAGTGTATATTTCGAACTTATTTTCGTATCTTCGATTTGACCAAATGATTGACGCACTAGACTATCCATATAGGTCTTGAATATTTATCTTCAAAGCTGAACACTTTCATCTGTTATGGAATGTACAATTTAAGCTAGATTACATATGAAAAAGTCCAGGGTATATATTTCTCTTATCTTTACGGTGACTCTTTTCACCGCATTTGTAGACGAGTTATCCGAAATTTATTTACTTCAAAGCAGCTGGGATGACACTCAGAAACAGGAGAAATTGGCAAAATAGTGAAGATATGTTGGTTTGACAGTAATAAACTATTATATAAATTCCAGCTTAGGTGCTACAGATATATGACTCAAATATAAAAATACTTTGAATTCCTCAAAATGGGAGAGTTACGAATTCATTCAACGTTGAATTTGGAAACCATTCACGGAAAACGAGAAATTCAACTTCTTTTCGGTGATATTTGTAAGCTCCCAATAAAAGATAAAGTTGATGTTATCGTTATATCTGCATTCCCAGGTAAACAATGCTCAGAATGAATGCTTACATTAAAGTATTTCTTGATTGTAAAGTCTAGAATCCACTTATGATAATAGTGAAATAATACATGGGCGATAATAGAATGAATCACCATGTAAACAAACTTTTATCAAATGACTCAATGAGACTGACTTCAACTTCAATGGGCCTTCAATCTTAGTGAACTTGACATAATTCATAGAAAATTTGAAAAGTGTCAAATTGGAATTTTTAAAATCATCATGTCATCCTGAACACAACACACCATAGACCACTGGCAGATCCAGAAGATGACAAGAGGGGAGCCCAAATTTCAAATCATACAAAAAATCTTCCGCGCTTGCCCGAAAAAAGATTTAGGTCACTAAATCCAAAACATGGGCCCAAATGTTGAGAAGGGACATTTTTTGATCATTTAGCCTACAATTTTTTTTAAGGGCCAGGGTACCTCCCTGGATCTGCCAGTGAATACTGTAAAGACTTATAACAAGAAAAGCTGGACGCTGCGAACTCCTTGTTGTTGTCTAGCTAAACCTCTCTGACAAAGTTATGTACTCCCTGTATTTGATGTGTCATAGATGTTTTATATCTACCCTGCTTTCTTTATTCTAGGTGATTATTCTCCCACACCTACATCTGTAATAGGAGCCCTGAGACATAATTTTGATCTAAATGTTAGGGATCTTGCAAAAAACAAAGCTGAAGATCTACGTCGTCACTTCCATTGTTGGTGGTCTCATCCATTACCAGAAGCACTTCCATACAGGTACATGTAGCTTGAAGTTTTAATTGGAAAGATTGTATTTGATTCTTCCATTATATTGCCATAAACTTAGATTATACAAATTTTTAGGTAATCCCCTATCGGTAAAGGCATCAAGATGTCTTTTTCACTGTTAATGTAAATATGTTTATGTGATTTTAATAAAAGAAAAAAATCAATTTGTTTTCTGAAAATGTGTGAGGATCACACATCATTAACCCAGTACCCCAAAAATTAGTAGGTTCTGATTAAATCCCAGGAATTAAATCTGATCTTTAAAAATGTGAAATACATAATGACAATTAATTTCAATCCTAATGTAAGGTCAAGCCATTGCCATAGTAAATTAGTTTTGCATCCCACCAAAAACTGAAATGTATGAGAGAAATAAATGCAATCAGGAAGTTAACAAGATCAAATTTCAGCCTTACACTAAATACTTATGTTTAAGAAAAAAATTGTTCATCTACTAGGGTCCCTCTTTACTGAAAGGACAAAGTTTTCCTGTTGCTAGTTATTATAAAGTTGCATTTTGATTGATTCTAGTCGTTTGCTATGCTTCGAGAGCACAATACGAGGCAGAAGTCATCCTGCACAGCTGGTTGGGGACATATACCGGGCAATGATTCCTGCTTTCATAGATGATGAGAAAACAGTAATCACACCATTGATTGCCACTGGAGACCAGGTACAGCATGAGAAATAAAAGAACTGATATAATGCATGTACTATTAGAAAGGACTCCGGAACTTTCAATACTGTACATTATTTTTAGACCATATATATCTTAAAAATGCAACAAAATTTATAGATGAGTTGAGAGTGATTATACCTTTCTTAAGTTGAGGAGCTAAAGTAAAAAAATTTATAGTGCCTTATAAAATGTTGATCCCTGAAATTTTCAACCTGTTTCGCTGTTTCAGAACTTCTCCAAGATACGTATGATGAAAGCAATGGTAGATGCAGCAGTTAACTGGATAAAGTCAGGTACACATTCTAATTTAATCAACCTTTTATGGGGCTAAATTTGGGGTATAGAATCGGGCTATAATGCAAGAGGGGGATATATCAACCAGTTGTTCCTATGGTTGGGCAAGGGTGGAGACTATATTTAAAAACCTGTCTAAAACATACTCCTTGAATGTATGTACCATTTAATGTATGGAAATCAGCAAATGGATTTTGCATCACAGATGTGATCATTATTATGACATAAGATTACACACATGTTCACATAATTTCACATGAATTTTGCTTTGTTTAGGGCTGGCTCTTAAATGTCTAAAGATTGTACTGTACACCAGACGCCCTGATAAATTGACCAGTGAAGAAGTCTCTGTGGTAGAACTCTTTGCGAAGCTTAAGAAAAATTATGAAACAAAAAACTCTGTGTTAGCTGTAAGTGCTCCATTTATTAATTAAAGAGGCACTGCCATTTAGAAGGGTAATTTTGGTACCACTTCACCCTTTAAATTTTTATATTGGGTTCCATCATTCATGTTTATTCCAGCCCAGTAGCCAGGGGGGGGGGGGAGGTGGAGGGAGCAGCCACTCCCCCACCCTGGCCAGAAATTCTTTCAAAATCATGCAGTTTTTCACCATTCACAGCATGATTTTTCGCCAAAAGCTGTCAAAAGCTCCCCCCCCCTTGGCAAAAGCTCCCCCTTGATAAAACTGCTCCACCCAGGTAAATCCTGGGGACGGGCCTGTATTCATCTACATGTGTTTATTTCAATGTTGAAAATATCAAATATTGCTGATTATTGTTAGAATAAAGTTTCAGTAGGTATTTTGAACTAAGGTTTTTTTACACAAGTCGATTCTATGTTAATTAGCAGCTGAAATTCGCTCAAGGACCTGTTCTTAAAATTTTGTAAAATTATCATTTTTATGTCCCCACCACATAGTGTGGGGCCATATTGTCGGCCTAGGCGCGTCCGTCCGTCCGTCTGTCTGTCTGTCTGTCCGTCCGTCCGTACGTCTGGCAGTTTTCTCCAAAACCGCTACAGATATCCCCTTCAAATTTTCAGGGATAACTTATGAGTGCATACAGATGTGGATGAAGAATTTTTAACTTGATATCTACTTCCTGTCTGCCATTTTGAAGTCAAATGGGGGGGGTGTATAGAGGGTCTTGGAAATGCATATACAATATTTTTCAGCTCTCTTATACCATATACAATATTTTTTCACCATATACAATATTTTTCACAGCTCTTATACCATATACGATATTTTAGGTGAAATACAATATACGATAATTTTGAAACTGCTTTTGATTAAAGTTTGGATATTTATAAGGAAATAATATTATATTAGGGAGAGAATCCATGTACTTAAGTAAATGTATTATTATAAGGCAACTAGACTCCACATACATACCACAATGATTTCATTTATTTCATTATGAATTAGACACCATTCGGGTACATCAGCATCAGAAAAGCTGTGACCACATTTTATTTTCAGGTAAACAAGTTGATTTAAAACACATTTATGATATAAGATTCATGACTTCTCTTTAGTGATTTAGCAACCTACTTTGACCAAAAAAACTAACTATGACATTGCTGCAATTTGCTAAAGCCATTAGCCCATTACCTGTAAAAGTACCATAAAGATATTCAAAATTAGCACAAAACCTGCATCATTGGAATGGGTGGAACCCAGTGCTCCTCTTTCTTATGACCTACTTTCCCATGACTTATTTAAATGTCCTTCATAGTGAGCCAGGGAAAAAAATTCTTGAAACATAATTGATGCAAAATTGAGAATGTTGAATAAAAGATTCATCATATGTTCTATGAAAATAAAGTTTGCTTAGGAAAATATTTATCAGATAGATAATGAAGATTCACAATGCACAATAATTTTGTAAAGCAGTTACCTGGAAAATATTAAGTATTTAAAACAGTTTCAGAAATAAAGGACTTCACAAACTTCCATGTAGATAATTCATTTTTGATTGGACTCGAGTCTGGAAACTAGAGTTTGAAATAAAGGCAAGATGAGACTTGATTGTTTAAACATTTGAAACATGAGACACTTCGGGGTTTCAGATAAGGCAGCCTCAAAGACAGTATAAGTTAAACAAAGGTGTGTCAAAATTAAGCAAATTTCCATGAAGGTCAAACCACATGTTTCACAAATGATTTCAAGGCAAAGATGTATTGATGAGAATGAAAACTACTCTATCAGTCTATGTAACTAGAAATAACTTTCTTTTAAAGGACCACGGACGGTATCGCAACAGATTTCAGTCATATATTGGATTTTGACTATTTTCTGAGGATTTGAACAGGTGCATATGTTAGGCCAATGCATTAACTCCAGGACAAGCAGTCATAGAGATTATAAAATAATTTGGACTTTAAGACAGGGAAGGTGCAAACACCCCATCAACATGTTTTTCTGTAATGTTGTCCTGATTTCCAGCCCTTTCCACACCTGTTTTTCAATGTTTGTTGCATCGATCACTCTGTTGATTTTTGAGACATGGTTAAGATCTTTAAATGAAAATATGATTCATGCAGGGGTTTTAAAGATATCAATTTTTTATGACCAAAATAAAGCTGAAAACAATGGATCACATGAGTTTTCCCTATGGGAAAATAACATGGGAAATACATGTACTGTTTTCCACTTTATCCCAAATAAATCATATTTTAGAGGTTAACTGTGTCTCAAAGTGCAACATATTGGTGCATCAAACATTGAAAAAACATATGTGGAAAGGGCTGAAAATAAGGACAACATTTCAGAAAAACCTTCCCTGTCTCAAAGTTCAAATTATTTTATTACCTCTATGAGTGCTTGATCTGGAGTTAATGCATTGGCCTAACATATGCACCTGTTCAAATCCTCAATAAATAGCCGAAATCCAACACATGACGGTTTGAAGACCAAATAAACACCTTTTGCTATATTATGCTATATTAGCATTGTGATGCTTGTATTAAAACATGCGCTGTATGAACACTTTATACTCAAATATTTTCATGATTTGTCCCACATACCCCGAAACACGAGTAGCAGTGACCATATTTTTCATCAAAGTTAAGATGGTCAATGACATTTGGCAGTCTCACGCCTGGTGATCTGATGAAATGAACGGAGGGGAAGTAGCTGATTTTCGGTAAATTCAACAAATGTTGAAGATTTATTTTTTCAAGCAAAAGTTTACAATTGAATGGCTACATGAATAGGTGCAGTGCACAGGGAAATATGTTAGGTCTTCTTGGATTTTTTTTGAACTGATGGAGTTCTAAGATAAAAGGTCTATTAAAAAAGGCGCAGCGTCACCAACGTGCAAATGCCAATGTTTTTGCTATAAATCAAGCAACAATGGTCTGCACGACATGTAATAAATATATAAGCGACATTTTTATATCACAAAATTCATTGCCGGTTTTTTAAAATAATTTTCCAAATGATAGATAAAAAATAATCGAAAATAATTAAAATTGAACGGAGGGGGGGGGAGTAAAATGTCTTTAAGGTGGAAGAAATTTCCACAAATTCGTGTACTTGAAAAATGAACTCACTTACTCAGTAACTTGATGTTACAACTCTGAAAAGTGAAAAATGGGGACATATGGATTTATTGGAAGTTTTCATATGTCTTATAGACAAATTACTCCCCCCCCTCCATTCAATTTTAATAATTTTCGATTACTTTTTATATAACGTATGGTAACATGTTTTACAAAACCCAATAGTTTTGTGATAATTACTTCACTTACAAGTATTTATTACAGGTCGTGGAGACCCCTGTTGGTTGATTTATAGCAAAAACATTGGCATTTGCATGTTGGCGACGCTGCACTTTTTTAATAGATCTTTTATTTTAGAACTCCACAGTTAAAAAAAATCCAAAAAGACCTAACATATTCCCCCGTCCACTGCGTCTATTCATTTAGCCATTCAATTGTAAACTTTCTCTTGAAAAAATAAATCTTCAAGATTTGTTGAATTTTATCAGCTAGATCTACTCCCCCCTCCGTTCATTTCTTCTGATCACCGGGCATGATTCTTATTTGAGACTGTATTTAACACCTCCTGTGAAAATTTGAATGAAAAGGGCACAAAACTCTTAGTTTGAGAGGGATTTTCTCTAAACTAACAGTATCGATTGACCTGGAATTTGAAAACAATTATAGAGACTACTTTTCCATGTTTTTCCAACACGGTTACAGTAAGAGAGTTGGCACAATGGGGGAACTTTAGGGTACAATTTCTTCATAATTAGCCTTCTTTAATTCTAGATACCATATACCATATTTTCTAAAATACCATATACCATATTTTTTACACCTCTTATACCATATACGATAAATTTTACCCCCTCTTATACAATATACAATAAATTTTCAGCCTCTTATACGATATACAATATCTCTATACACCCCCCCTCAAATGCTAAAATCCTTGTCTGCAAACTTGAAGAAAAACGGCTTCACAGTTGCTTGTAAAACTTTAACATCTTGTTCAGCTCACTTCATTCTAGATCTGATTAGGTTTTGGACCTGTTAGCTCAGTCATGGCAGCCATTTTAAATGTCTGAAGAAAAGTTAGCGCGCGATAATACTTTGTATCATATTGAATGGTGTTTTTGAGTTTTCATACTTTAACTATTTAGTAGCATTATAAATAATTTCAGGTGTACCTTCTTGTAAAAGCCTATGTTATTGTTAACAGTAGGTATATGTGATAATTTTGTAAAATGAAATCAGCAAAAACTCATAATCACTTTTTTATTGTCAGCCATTTTGGATTTTTCCATCTTAAAATCTTGTCTGTAAGTCTTGTCTACGCGTTTTCAGGTGAACCGTTTGGTAGATCAATTTCAAATTTTCAGGGATGGTTCTTAGTATGAAAATCTAGATCTGATTAGTTTTTGGGCATTCTGGGTAAATGTCAAGGCAGCCATTTTGGATTTTCCGTCCTAAAATCTTGTCTGTAAAGTCTTGTCTACGCATTTTCAGGTGAACCGTCAAGTAGATCAATTTCAAATTTTCAGGGATGATTCTTAGTATGAAAATCTAGATCTGATTAGTTTTTGGGCATTATGATGAAATGTCAAGGCAGCCATTTTGGATTTTCCGTCCTAAAATCTTGTCTGTAAAGTCTTGTCTACGCGTTTCCAGGTGAACCGTGTGGTAGATCAATTTCAAATTTTCAGGGATGATTCTTAGTATGAAAATCTAGATCTGATTAGTTTTTTGGCATTCTGGATAAATGTCAAGGCAGCCATTTTGGATTTTCCGTCTTAAAATCTTGCCTGTAAAGTCTTGTCTACACGTTTTTAAGTGAACCGTTTGGTAGATCAATTTCAAATTCTCAGGGATGATTCTTAGTATGAAAATCAAGATCTGATTAGTTTTTTGGCATTCTGGATAAATGTCTAGGCAGCCATTTTGGATTTTCCGTCTTAAAATCTTGCCCGTAAAGTCTTGTCTACACGTTTTTAGGTGAACCGTTTGGTAGATCAATTACAAATTTTCAGGTATGATTCTTAGTATGAAAATCTAGATCTGATTAGTTTATGGGCATTCTGGGTAAATGTCAAGGCAGCCATTTTGGATTTTCTGTCCTCAAATCTTGTCTGTAAAATCTTGTTTACATGTGTCCTGGTTAACTGTGTGACTGATCAATTTAAAATTTTTAAGGGTGTTTCTTAGTATATGAAAATCTAGAACTGACTAATTTTTCGGCATTCTGGGTAAATTTTAAGGTGGCCATTTTGGATTTTCCGTCCTCTAATTGTGTCGGTAAAGTCTTGTCTACTCATTTTTAGGATAACCATTTGACGGGATGACCCATATAGGTGGGGACATTTTGTACACATTTGTGTTCTTGTTATAAATTGTATCAGCACAGTTTTAAATTACAATTAACAAAAATGTAATAATGTCAATCGCCCTAAGGCACAGCACAGTGATAATGTTACTTTTACTCTCTCACAGGAACCAGCACTCAAATATGATCTCTATATCTCTTACAATGAATTAGACAAAGCCAAGGTAAAGGAAATAATCTCCTTGCTGAAAGCCAGAAATGAGAAGATCAAGATTTTTTCCAAACACCAGGGCATAGTGGAAAAAGCTGCTTACCAAACAGAGATGTATCAAGTCATGGTCACGTGTGCAAGGTAAGATGTCAGGATTATATTTCCATGATGTATGTATGAGTGTATGATGTCAAAGTCATTTCTGCGTTTGTTGGTATGACAATCATAGGAAGTATTCTCCACGGTATTTTTTCACAAGCGGGTATAAAATTGTTATTTTGCAGTTCACTCCAAGTTGATCAGAATATGCAAGTACATGTAGGTGCAAATGGATTTTCAAGTGGGTACAAGTCTATTTTCATTACCTCATGCAAGTGCAGCACCAAATAGTTTCAGTGCTCGGGAAATCACTGGTTGTTTGTGTGAATTATTAGAGGTGGTCAAGCTGCATATGGGCTCCTCATGGTTGTTTGAGCAGACGTTTAATTGTGACGTTTTGTTATATTTTTGTGGATGGTGTTCGGCGGCCAGCATCTGTAACAAATGACAGATGGTGACATTTTGCATGTTAATGGCTTGTCTAGTATCAGTTCAATGATCTCATTCACATTTGCCTTCTTAATGTTCTTTCATTCCAGAGTGATGACAGTGTTAAGTCCAGTGTACCTTGAGTCTGAGGCATGTATTGAGCAGTATAACTTAGCATTATGTTGTAACAGGCAGACCAAGAGAGACCTCTTGGCACCATATTACATAGAAACTATCTCTCCAATGCCCACATATATGTGTCTTGTACAGTACATAGACTGCAGGTAACTACCAACTAATTCTCACTTTGATTACTCACTACTTACCATTGCTTAGAAGTGTTTTTTTTGTATCGTTATAAAAACAAGAAATCTTTTTGGCTGGAAATATGGCTTAAACAGCTCACCATGTATGAAACTATTTAGACAGTACAATACATACAAAAATACTCTTGAATGACCCAAAAATATATCATCATCCCAAAATGTAATGCATATTTTTGTTTTAGACTGAAGGATGGAGTGAACACAAAGATGTTGCGAGGTATAGACACTTTCATAGTGGACCTGGAACAAGTGAAGCAGATGCAAAAAGAAAAGAAGAGTAATGCTGCAATAACTAACCAATCAAATTGCTACGATGTCTTCATTTCCTATTCTCATCGAAATACAGAAAAAGCAACAAAAGTCCTCAATCTGATAGAAACAGTGGCCCCTGACGCAAAAATATTTTTTGACAGAAATGAACTGAAGACAGGTGAGTTTTTGGCCATAGGGAACTTATGACAGAGGATATTAAAATATTAAAATAGGACATTTTTTGTCATTTTCAATGATTTTGAAAATAGTTTACATTATATCTCATGAATGATTATGTCTCAAGAAGTGCTTGTTAGGAATATAATATATACTTATAAAGTAACACTTTATTTCATGTAAAATGTAACATCGAAATATGATTTCAATTAGACAGTAAGTGGTAAGTATTTGTATCAACTGAGGTTTTAGGTACATAACATAACATGCAAGAAAATAGTGTGTCTTGGGAGTAGGATGGAAATGTGTCTATCCCACTATCACTGAGGTCTGGGGCATGCAGCTGTATTCATCCCTGTCCTTCTATGTGAAATGGATTCTTTTAATACTTTTCTAAAAATTTTATTCAATATTGCTTTCACTATTTTCCCAAAGGTTTTCACATTTGTATTTATATCTATAGTAACTGCAGTAAATAATCCATTCTAGGTGGTGCCTGGCAGCAGACACTTTATGAGGGTATAGACAATACAAGCGTGGTTATCACACTCCTATCGCCTGATTACATTAAATCAGCAGTGTGTCAAGAAGAGTACAATTTGGCTCTCACTAAGTACCTGTCTGAGGTAAGGCACACTTTGAATAACAAATCAAAATAGCTTGCCTTTTTGTACTTGGGCCACCCAAAAAAACCATGCAAAACAAGATACCTTTTGTTTTTGGGCATCCTATGTTTTATTTACATCTACTAGGGTATTCATAAAATACAAGATTCCTTTTGGTTTTGGGCATCCTACATGTATGTCTTATTTTCATCTTGGGTCGTCATTCAAAAAAGGATACATTTTTTATTTTTGGGCAGCTTATGTTTTATTTATGTTCAGGGTCCTCATTCAAAAGAGATACATTTTGTTTTTGGGCAGCCTATGTTCTATCATGGGCTTTCTATTGAATACCCATGATTCTATTGTTTAATTTATATTCAGGGTCCTTATACTAAACAAGATTCCTTTTGTCTTTTGGGCATCCCATGTTTTATTTATATTTAGGATCCTCATGTAAACCAAGATACCTTTTGTTTTTGTGCAGCCGATGTTTTCGTTACATTGAGATTCCTCATACAAAACGAGATACATTTGTTTATATTGAGAATCCACATACACTCTCTTAATAGACTATTGAAAAATAAATTGTTAGCTCATGCTGAATATTTTAAATGCATAAATTATTTCCAAATTTTAGGATTATGAAACTGAACTTCTTCCCATTGTGATTGAACCTCTGGATGAAGAGGCCCTGCCACGGCATTTTAAAGAAGTTAAAGCAATCGATGCAACTCAACAATTTGATGATGTCATAAAGAACATTTGTCACCCGTCTGTACAAAATTACTTGATGTCTAAGGTCAAAGATGCCACTGTCTTCTGTGACACTGTAAAGGTTTGTATTTAAGGAAATGATTTTAAGAGATAGTGCGGCTTACCTACCTAAAGTTGTATAAGCATACACCTTGTAATTTTTAAAAATAAATCTCACATCCTAGGAGGGTATCAATCGAGGAAAATCATAGAAAACCTTACAGATTTTACCATACCAGGTATCTATTCATTTAGTGATATATTCGTAAGTTTCTTCTGAAAAATAAATCTTGCAGATATGTTGAATTTTTCTCGCAGAAATAGGCTACTCCCTTGTCCATTCTTTTTTCTCATTTTTTTCTGATTATCAGGCGTGAGATGAATTCTAGAAGAAAAAGTGGTTTTCATTTCTCTATAAGCTGGAAAATACTCAAGCCTATTTTGTAAATTATTTGATAAAATATATGTAGACTTCATCACTTACTAGATGTAAAAGATCAGAAGATCAAACATATTTGCCATTTCATTAAATAACCAATCATGTTTCAGTTACCATACATGATAGATGAGATTCTAGAGAGTCATAGACTATACCAGTTCAAACAGAAGTACACTATTCTAGAGAATGACCAGATTGAACCAGTTTCATCTAGCCAGGACCAAGAATCAACTAGTCAGAACTGCAACATTCCAGAACAAACAGGAAATAGTTCCAATGCTGATATAGTGATCTTACAAGCACAAGATAAACAGGCATGTGTCGATGCTTTAGTCATGCTGCTTCAGCGTGAATCACCAACTCTAAAAATATCACAAATGGATTATGGAAATGACCACGATGAAGTTTCGCTGCTAGCCTCATTAGATGAAGCCAAGATGGTTGTAGCTCTGTTATCTCATAGTTTCATTGTAACTGAACGTTGCGTCATGGCATTTAATATTGCCTTGTGTCGACACCGAAGTGAGAAATCCAAAGTTTTGTACCCCATACAAGTTGATCCTCTTCCCCAGTGGCCGACATATTTTAGAATGATCCCGACATTTATTGCATGTCATGATATGCTCTGGGAGGACCTCATTGTGAAATTTGATCGTACCTTGAATTATGGAGAGAATGTGCTCAACATATTTCCAGGTTTGGAAGAGTGTGTCGCAAGATTACCTGCTGTGTCGCTGATTGACACAATGTGGCTCAGTCTGGCAATTGCATCACATGACATCTTGGAGGAACTTAAAGCACAGTCAAAGTAAGAAAGAATATCACATACTATGTATAAATCTAATGATTTGATTGGTTGCTTTCTATGACGTATTTCCCGCTGAAACGTGTAATTACTGATAATATCAATATGTTTGTTAGGCTTTGGGATCTCTTTGAATATATCTTTCCGGTTCAGATTGATAAGTTTTTAGTTATCAAAAGAAGTGGAGGCGGAGGCTTACATTGTTTTTTGAATTGCCTTGAGAAATACTTCTTCATTTCTCATAACCTAAGACGAGAATGTTGCTTTTGGTTCCAGACAGATATGCACCAAAAATACCAATGGCTTAATCATGTTCCAAAAATACCAATGGCTTAGTCATGTACCAAAAATACCATTGGCTTAATCATGTACCAAAAATACCAATGGCTTAGTCATGTACCAAAAATACCATTGGCTTAATTGTGCACAAAAATACCAGGCCCTTAGCCAGGATTTGCCAAGAGGGTTCATTTTAAAAAAAATTCTAAGCAGGGTTCACTTTTGACAACTTTGACCCAAAATTGGCCAAAATCACTCTCGAACCCCTCCCCCCTGGCTACGGATCAGAATACCATTGACTTAGTCTAACCTAAATTACATTTCCAGCCAATTATTAAATGAATATATCGTAATTTTTTCCAGGGAGAGTCAAAAACGCAACACAATCATCAATAACATTGTGCAAGTCTATCAGGAATCCGACAGGGAAACATTTGAGATGATGTATCCAAAAAAGCAAGTAAGCCTGTAAAGTTTCCTCCCATTGTGTAGTGTTTAATTCCTCACATTGTATACATAAATATCTCATGTCTTTCTGAGTAAATTGAATAATTTTGTTGAATGAACAAATCACAATATTAATTGAATGGATAAATCCGAAGTACAGTAAAACCTGTAAAGTGGAACATCTCCATAAATGGAACACTTTTCAAAGACCCACAACATATTGACATATTGTTAAATGAACGTCTGTAAATGGAATGTATTTTAGAGGTACCAAAATGTTCCACTTCCATAGATTTTATTGTCAGTACCTCAATTGAAATACTCAATTCTGATTGGTTGATGAGGGGTCAACAATATGTGCTTTATGATATTTATTAGCTTTTACTAATGGAACTTTTAAAGAAATGGTAAAATGTGCAGAGAAGTGTTCAGCATGTAGTAAAAGGTTTAATCCTCGTCAAATTGCACATCCTGACTATTATCTATATTCAACACAAAAAAATGTTTGTACATTTTAAAAATATTTTTTTCATACTTGTTTTCATTTACTGTATAGGTCATATCCTACATGTACATGAAATAAATACTCATTCATTAAGCATGAAAACAAGTGCAGTAACCATCTTTGTTTAAATTGAGGTTTTGTTTTGGAGGACTGAGCATTATAATTTGTGTTAGAGGTTAAAGTAGAATGGTGCACAAATTCAATATGATAAAAACCCAAGTTATCATCCCCATAACCAGAACTCAATGATAAAAATATATCTTTCAGTTTATTGTCCAACTGAAGGTGCCTGTTCAAATAAAAGAGCAAACTACAGAAACTGAACCACTTGGATCTGGGAAGGTTGAGAACAACATAACTACATCTGATGCTCCTAAAGACAATGCTAAAGATGATATTAAAGAAACAGTCATGGTTCAGGAGCCTAACAAGCCAAATAATGGAGATATCCCTCAAGCTGCAGACGATGATGAAGGAATCAAGGATGTGAATGATCATGAAATAGGTGCTTATGGTGATGAAGCTGGCAATACAGACAACATTAAAACTGGAAATGAGAAATCTGAAAGGGCAAAGGGTAGAGCAAAATCATCAGCATGCAATGTATTGTAGTTACTTCTCAGCTGAAGGTATGCCAGGAGCATATAGGGCAAAGATTGAACTTTTCGTGAGATACATGTGAAGTTTTTGCGATGTGGTCTTTATGTCACCACCACAAGTGATGACATATTAATATAGTCTCTAACTTTATTGTTGACGGTATGAGGCGGTTGTGTCTGTAAAAAATGGCAGGTAGTGACATTTTGCATGTTAATGCTTTGTTTAATCAAGTCTTAATTACCCTTTGCATTTATTTAACTTTGCTAGTTAAATCAGATAGCATCGTCTACACTGTTTAAGTTGAAGAGAAACCTCAGAATTCGCTCATTGAACCAAAGCTTGTCATTGCCAGGACATTTTTCCACATATACAGGGCGTTCATAAAGTTCTTGCAAAAGTGCTCTAAAACTTTTGTATCTCAGTCAATCTGGCTGCAATTTTCACTCAGTATACCTACACTATTCATACATTGAGATCCTAAGTTATAATCAATAGGTCCTTGAAAAAAGTTATGGTTGCTATAGTCACATTAGTCGGGGGTAGCCGGAGCAGGCAAAAAAGGATCTGTTTTGTTTGAATGTTTAAAATGTTCTATTTACTTTAATAACAGTATGTCAAGAGTGTAGGTGTTCAAAATAGTGTCCATTATGGTCTTTACACCTCAGCTGTCTTACTTGCCATTCCTCAAACAGATGGACGGGAACTCAATTGGAAATTTTCTTGCGATTGATCTTTGTATGGATGGCCTTCATCAACATCACCTGATCCTCATTGGATTTCATTCTTGGACAGCCTTATCTAGCATTGTCCTTATCATTTGTTCTACCATCAGTAAATGTCTTAGTCCATTTTGTAAATGGTTCTTTTGGCCATAGCCTCCTTCCCAAACACCTTATGAATATCTTCAAGCGTTTGTTTTCTTGAATTTCCCAGTAAAACATACATCCCGATGCTACTGAATATTTGTTATTGCAAATCATCATATTTTGCTGATTTTGCAACCATTTTCACAAAAATGAAATTGACAGTGCCTTTCACAAAGTCTGATGTCATCAACCAATATAGGTCACTTTGATACCATCAGTGATTTCAAGAATCAAAAAAATTTCAAATATGATGTCATCATATGACATTATCTAGGGTTAACATGGCAACATTAGCTTGTTTTGTATTTTCAAGGATACTTTAAAGTATATTAAAATTACCTCTTACCCATATCTTTTATCTAAATTTTTCTTTTTTTCAATGCTGCTCCGCCTACCCCTGACTCATGTTACTATAGCAATCATAACTTTTTTCCTTCAAGGACCTATTCATTATAATTCAAGATTCAAATGCATTATTAGTGTAGGTATACTGAGTGAAAATTTCAGCCAGATTGATTGAGAAACAAAATAATAAAGAGTACTTTTGCAAGAACTTTATGAACGCCCTGTATGGTCATTTCTTCTGGCATCACAGTGTTGACCCAGTACTGAACAAGAATGATGTATTTCGGAATGCTATGACGGAGAACAATATACCTTGTACATAGCTCCATTGTGTTTAATAATATCAAAATAGTATACACTATTATAGTATATAATACCGAGCAACGCTAAAGATAAATTATTCTGCATCATAGCATTCTGAAATCTTTAATTACTATTGTGATATTATTTATACTTGAGCTAGGCATTCAGGGTTAAATAGTTCTACAATAATGATGTTATTATAGCATGTTTATTAAAATACTCACAAGATTGCTATTGTATTTAAAAAATATAGACGGAAGAGCAGCAGGGGTAATATCGTCGAATACACTCCGCAGAACTAGGCAAAAATGTTTTCTGTACCGAAGGGAGTGAGGGGTTCGAAAGCTTTTGTGCCTAGCCCTAAGGCTATATTCATTATGGTCCGCCATTACTACGGCCCACTGTTATGATGTCACACATTACTCGTATTACCAGGGGTTGTGTTGACGAATATATACCTCAGGGGAAATGTTGACTTTGTTCACAGTTTATAGAAGGCGTGAATACAGTCATGTTCAAATTTCTTTTATTTTATTACATGTATATACAATATTCCTTTGCTTGATTTTTATGAGGGGTTCTCAAAGAAAGATTTAACTTGATCTTCTGGTTAAAGTTAAATGAGAACCAATGGTATGTGATAGTATACATGTACGCCCAAAAACATGTTGCTTAGATATACAATATTTTTAGAACTTTTTATGAAGTATGGTTTTATGTAGAAAAGATATTTTAGTTAATTATATAGCCTATTATATCTTTTACTGAAGTATAGTTTTATATAAAGGAAAAAGATCTGTGATAAACTAAGTGCAGTAATAGGTTTTATTAAAGGCAGAACCACACTAGCAATCTTTCAAAAAATTGTTCCAATTTGAATAAATATAGCCTGTAGCATGCTTGTCATATGTTCTTTTAAAGCTTCCCAAAATACATTACTCTTTTCATGTATCTAATTTTTGAGAATCTGCATGTTTTTGCACTTTGAATTTTTAACAATTCATCTAAGCTAATCTTCGGGTCTAACAATCCACTTGAAAAGATATCATGAAGTAATAGTACTGTATATAGAGATAGTATTATATATTTTGATTATTATTTTTTTTTTGAAATATGGTATAAATTATTTTATTAAGATCAGAGTTATAAACATTTTCATCCTTGTTCTAATTGACCTTTATAATTGTTTAATGCTTGTACAGTACATATACTTTCATTCAAAATGACAGCACAAGCAACAGACTAGAATAACAGGTATATAAAGATCATATACATTTATACTATTAGACAGAATGTAATTTATATGAAGCATTTTATGTTCTTTTTCCCATAATGGCAACGTTAGATAAAGGGAACTGTTGTGACATGCTTTTTGTAACCTTAAATCAATATGGCAACACCCAGGAGAGTTATTCTTCTATAAACCTTTGTAAAATCCAAAAGAAAATATGTGTGTCCATATTCAAAATAAGCAAAATCACTAGGCTAGTCAATGGGCTATTTAAGCATTGTAGTACTAGGCTGATTGAGAATATACCCTTTTATGTATGTTTTTTATTATTAACATTGTACATACATCAATTTAGGGTCAAACAATGTTTTAAATCAATGGAATATAAATCTGTATATATTTACAATAACATTCAGATGTTTTTCTGTATTTTTATTATTAAACTTTATATTCTAGTGTATACACTGTACATTATGTTGAAGGTATATCTTTTACAATGCATATCAGTATAAAAGAACACTTTAGCTTTTTTTAAAAAGAAATAAAGTTTGAATTGAATAACAGTAAAACCCGTAAAGTGGAAAATTTTTGAAGTCTAGTAATCCATTTACTTAATGTAACATAAACCTCTGCAAGTAGAACACCTCCTTAATGGAATATTATTTTGTATAAGAAAAGTCTTGCCTTTACAGGTTTTGACTGTACATTAAAAGCTGGCCATGAATAGGCCTATAAAACATATGTAAAATTTTCATTTTAAGTATCAAAATAGAACATATACACATTCACAAAAACATGAGAAATATCTTACTAGAGTATATAAGAAGTACAAAAAATATATTAAATGGAACATATTAAGATGAGACACATCTTTGGAATATTATAAGTTGACTTATACTTGATCAGTTGCATATTTATATAATAAGCTAGAGGTCTGGTATGTACAGGATATCCTATGATTTTGAGTGATAGGCCTTTTACTTTCTAGCAAAAAATATGATATTTGCATGTTCACAAGATTATTGACATCAATGATTGGATTAAAATGATATCATGAAAAAAAGGAAAATCATAGGATGTTCTATTTTCCCCATAGTTTACCTCTTAAGCTTAACATTTAGAAATAAAAAGTTTATCTAAAGCAATGTATGTCACATATATAGGAGGTTTCAAATTAATGTAAAAGGTGGTATCTGTAGAATGATCTCCATATGACATAGATATCGCTTTTTCCATGCATTTGAAAATAAATCATAAATATAATTGCATTTTATCATATGTGACTTTTGGGTAGTATATGATGTAAAATAAAAACGTATGGATCATAATATGTACATAATATGAACAATACTAGATGTACAAGTGTAATTATGAACACTACTTAGATGTACTTAGAATGAAATTTTCTTGAATACATAACATATGAAGATTCTATTTGTTGTCATGTCCATTTTAGGACAGGCCTCAGTGCCATTATTTATTGCAGTGTTCTCAATCTATGCCTCTATCAGCAGGGAGGCAGCACAAGTCATTACATCCCTTTATCACCATGCAGTTACAATGAACAAGATTTGTGTTGCAATTTAGATAAATCTACCAATGTAAATAATTAGCCCTCATGTTCATAGAGACATCCTTCCAGATGAGGCCTTGGACCAAGGATGCCATGTATTAGAGATTCCAAAGAAGTTTATTTTTCAAGAGCATAACCAGTTCATGGCACATATTTTAAATGAGATATTTGAAGCATTAAACACTGCAGACATCGAGACTTTAATCCAAACCAAAGGGCTTAAAATTATGAAAGATAAACCTCAAGCAGCATCCAGTTCAATCACGTTTTGAAATTGTCAATGCAATGATATACGGATTTCATAGATTGTTATTCATGATCTTTCAAAAAAATGTCTCCCGATTGTTCCACAATCATTTCTTGACTTTAAATTCAGCAAAGAGAATATTAGCTCCTGTCTGTCTTTTTTGGTATGGTTGCTGGCCACTCACCCAGATAAACACCTTCCCTGGAAAAACATTCATCTGTTTAATCAGTGTAATATTACATGAAGAAGTTTTGGGGTTTTCAGAATATTGCAAAGCTCTTGAAATTTTGTAAAAGGGACTATTTTGTATAATGTATCGTTTTATGATTGAAATGGACTCTTACGTTTGAATCCGCCACTTTCCATTTTGTGTTACTTGAAGTTTGAAAATTATGGAATTGAATCAATAAATTGAGAGGCTTGGATATTGTTTTTCAAAAATGCTTCTTCAGGTTGACTCTATTTGTCAATATGAGGTCATTCTTGCTAGATTAACAGAACCTGTCAAAAATTAACTTGATACCTGGACTATTTAAGATGATTTTCACAACTTGGTAGGGTCAGTGTTCTAATATGGAGGTTTGCCCTTTCCCGGGGTCTCAAGAGGAGCTTACCTTCTTCAACAATGAATCCCTTTGTATCATGCCAGACCTCCAGTAGCTTAGATGTGATGCTGAATTCTTGGTTTATCTCTTCCCCTGGACTAAGTGTGACCCTCTTAATCCCAGATAACTGTCGTTGAGGGACAGGTACAGTTGCATTTGGGTATGAGATGTACACCTGGATGACCTAAAAAAAGATGTAATGGATATCAGGGCAGTCATAAGCAAAATTAAGAAACAAAGCACACAGTGAACAACGTACTATCTAAAATTCAAAAATGGCCACATTTAAGCCAGCAAGCTTAAACCAGCATACCAAGAAACATCTGGAAAACTTTAAATCAATAAATCTTGCGGTTTATCTTGAGATACACAGATAAAAAGTGAAATGTCATTTCAGGTCACCAGACAATTGCAAGCTTGACAGTGATATAGAAATTACAATTAAATTTAGGTGTTCTTTTCAGACCATCCCGAATATATGCACACATGATGAAACAAATATCTTAAATCTATTATGTCTCTTTCATATTGTATATGAGCATTGGACAAACTGGAATGATTGTAGGTAAAATATATGTTGTGGTCAATCTGAAGTGACTTACCTCATCAGCCTGGTAACGTCCCACATTCTTCACACCGACATTGAGTTTTATACTTTTCCCTTTCTGCATGGTGGGATTACTCAGTCGTATGGATGTGTATTCAAACCTGAAAATGATAAATGTAAAGACTTATCAATACAATTCGGTTGTTTCCAAATCAATGTCGCTCATATTGGATTACTTTACATATCTAAAACAAAGTCATAAACCTTATATATATATGGATCTCTTTACATATAAAGTTGATATCAATTGAAATTATTTTGATATGAAACTTCATAACATTATACTTGCTCATAATGTGTAATTTTTCCTTTTGGAGCTCATCAAAGGATAATAAAACGAGGTAAAGCTAGAGTAACCATGGTCAATGCTATATGGCCATGCTATATACAATGTACAGTTTGTTTTTGAGAAGGATGAGAAATTGGCACTTTTTAATATCTAATATCCTAATAATTTGGCTTATTATATACAATAAATATAATATTTTTATGAAATGAGCAAGAATTATGAATTATTTTCGACCATACACAAACATTATTATGTACTATATGTTAACTGTAAGTTATCAAAAACTTGACCACTGAGGAGTTCCACTAACCTTCCATAAGACAATCCATAACCAAAGGGGTAGAGTGGAGTTCCAGTGAAATACCTGTAGGTGCGCTCATGCATGGTATAGTTGTTAATATGTGGTGTCTGAAAGAAACATGCATCTGTGTGTACATTTATAAATCAAAGTGCAATGTTAACATTTTTTTATTATAGGAATTATAAAATTGATCTATTTCTTCATTATTTTGTTTTATCATTGTTTCAGTTTATGAATCAATATAAAGTAAGCTACAGTGACTTCTAGTTAACATTAAATGGCCATTTTTAAATCTTGAAATGTGACCTTCTGCCAAACTGAAAAACCTTTGGTCTGTCCCATATGGCATTCATATTAGACAGGTTTAACTGTACACTACATATCAATTTATAACTAGCAACACACCTGATCAGCAGAGGTATACCATGTATATGGCAACCTGCCACCAAAGGAGGTACCAGGACCAGCCATCCACAGTGTTCTCCTTATAGCTTCCCCAGCCTCCTGTGCTGGGTAGAAGCACTGGACTATAGCAACTACACGGTCACTATCATCAGCAAACTTGATATCAACTGGCCCAGCAGAGAATACTAACAGAATGATAGGTCCCTTTGCTGAAATATAGATTAGTTCATTTTTATAGGCGGATATTAAGTACAATATACGAGCTTTGTCTTTATGTTAATTTATGTCAAGGTAAATACAAAAGTACATAAGCAGTTACTATAATGCAAAAAGATCTCTTTGGTAATTACAATTTGTATTATTAATTTGGTGCTATTTAATTTGTTATTGGATATGGACAGAACAAGGCATTAACATGCAAAATGTCACCACCAGTTACTGAAAGTTGTAAGATTTGTTACACACACCAAACCCTGAGTGACCACCACTGAACACTGTCAACAAAAAATTGAAGACTAGCACAAAGAACACATCTTTAGGATGTATGCTAGAACTCTTAGGCAACCTCTATTATATTTTCTTGTACATATACTCTATATACTATTATTCCAGAGGTTTTGGGCGAAGCTTCAATTAATCTTCATACCATCATACTATACCCCATATTGACCAATCCATCATCTTCCTACATTCCATTTGGTATTCAACTTACAATGTTTAATAACAGTCTTCATGAGTTGTTCTTGCTGCCCTGGAAGACTAAGATTCTGCCTGTCATGGCCCTCCTTGGCAAATGTCACCCCTTAAATATAAACACAAAAATGAGGAATTGCAAAATAGACTGAAAATGCCAGATGTTCAATCAACATGATAATTCAAGGTTACCATTAAACAGACATTTTTTAATCTAGTTTATGAGAGAGTACATATTAATGTGGCAAAGTGACATGCCACAGTGCTACGTAATAATGACAGGTCCCCAGTTAGTTCGCAAGAAGAACGCTGGTGGCGCTGCAATCGTATGAATAAAATGGCAAATGTTGAAAGGTGATGTATGTGACCCATTTTCTACATGTTTATTACACCCATTTGCCTCAATATATTGTAAGATTTATGACAAAGTATCTTATCAAGGCTAAGGTATTGTTTTATTACTGGAGGAAACTATATTTCTGTGCCAATTCATGTTCTAATGATCTCTTTCCGGTGCGGAGTCTGCATTTTCATTTGCACATGGCTTTTATTTTGGAAAAATGATAATATCTTTACATTACTAGCATAGGATGACATTTTGGTGTCTATTTCGGACATGCTATTATATCCACTATATATTTGTGTACTTTTTATGCCATTTTGCATGGGTTTATCTCAAGCTCATTTTTCCTGCATGTCCTTGGATATCTTGAATAAGTTCACATTACATAACACCTATCATTTTGTATCTATCTTCAAGTGTAATATACTATTTCAATGCAATCTGGGTGATTCAGGTCATACATTTTGATGTTTGTATGGATTTTATATGGATTAATGTAGAGTTTCCATACTGGTGAGAATATTTCTAATGATGTTTTAGGGATCTGTACTAGAGTTAAGGCTACATCCAGTATAGGGATCCATACTAGAGTAATACTCCATCCAGAGTTATGAGTGTTATGATGTTATGAGGGTCCATACTTGTGAACATAGCACATTTAGTCAGGGACTTACACCATTGGTATACTGATATTGTAAGTATAGGATAACACTTACTTGGTATGTACATGTAGATGGTCATTTATATACTCTTTCCATTCCATCGAATATCACATTTAGTAGATATTTTATAGGTCATTTTATTACGAAGTACAGTGTACAAGACTTATGTTTTTATTTCATCATTGTGTCAGTTTTAGTACAAATCAACTTACAACAGTGTATAAGCTAGGTTTGTTAACATTTGTTATCCATGCTAGGTGTACAGGTTAATGGATTTCCATTAAGGTATGGACATTTGTACATACTTACCATTATTCCATGTGTATTTTAGGGAGACAAGCAGTGCATGGTGTCATGGGTGTGAACAGGTGTCTATGATCGACTAGGTCGGATGACTGCATTTGTTTGAGTTTCCATGGGTAAATTATACATTCGTATATTTTCCTTTATACATGGCATTTTAGTAGATTTTATGGACATTTCGATAGGGTAATGTCATTTTTTTAAGAGTAGGATACGCCATAGTTGAGTGAAAGAGTATAGCTCAAAGCATGTCAAATAAGATCAAGTAGTAACTATTTGTACTTTTACTGGAATTTAGAATGTGAGGTTTCTATATAATATTTTGTTTCTGTATTTGCAGGATCAATCCTGTTGCCCTTTTTTGTCACACACACATGTCATAGTTGAAATAAACTACGTCAACCAAAACAATTACGTATATTATCTGTGTTTATATGCCCAACTATACCGCACTTGGCCACAGTGGTGTCAGATGTTAACTACAGCCTATTGGAACTAGTGACAAGGGTAACAGGGGACATTTGGTGTAATGTACAACATTCGTCAACAGACGCTTACGTTCGATGATAGCAGTGAGGGGATTCGCAACGTAATTTATGTGGAGATCTCAAATAATAGAATGTGAAATTGACATCTTGGAAGGAGAAGGAAAATCACCAATTAAAATGTATCAGATTGAGGCAGTGTGTTGCCACTAGAGATGATTCTATTCTGAATACAATATTAGTCCTACTACACAGTGTGTTGTGTATAAAAATGTTGCAGATGGTGCTAAATATTAACTGTTGCTGCCAGAGAATCATTCTATTCTGAATACAATATTAGTCATGCTACACAGTGTGTTGTGTATACAAAATGTTGCAGATAGCAGCTGATGCTAAATATTAACTGTTGCTGCCAGAGAATCATTCTATCCTGAATGCAGTGTTAGTAATACTACACAGTGTGTTGTGTATACAAAATGTTGCAGAGAGCAGTTGGGGCTGAATATTAAAGAGGTTTTTGTAAAATAAGCGATATATTTATATACATGTACTACTGTAATTCACATTTCAATAATAGGTTATATTTGCTTCAATGAATGTTTGATAGAGGGCATGAGAATAAAAATAAATTCCACAGGTGATAATCTAACACAAATAAAAGTGAAACTTCACATATCCGTTCCCATTAGAGCCTTTAACATACTTAGGTGCAGTGCACCCTGTACTAAATATCAGATTAGACTTAGAAATTATACTTAGAAATTATACTTAGAAATTTTTGTAAATTCATGTAACGCATAATTAAAATTTTCAAGAACACTGCTCATGATAATTTGGGTATGGGTATATGTAACTGGTAAGGTTTTTGAGAGATGTTTACCTGTATTCATGCATTTTAGGGCCATTTCAACTCCATGTCTGTTAGTTAGATTGGTTCATGTCTTGTAATCTATGTAGAGTCATAACCTGATAATCTATACAATGGCGGAAGGAGGATCACCATATAAGCACCCAACTCCGCGTAAAAGCCTAGTTAAGTGTTTAGGGGACATGAAAGATTCCCCTTCAAGGAAAGAATATCTTAAGCTCCAAGAAGAGGTGCAAAGATTAAAGGACACAAAATCAGCAGTGACTAAAGTGATATATGCTCCCAAAGAGAGAAAAATAGACAAGTTTGACGGAACGGGAGACGTTGTGCGTTTTGTCGAGGAAATAAAATCAATGTTGAAAGCTAGAACATGGTCTGATGGGCAACAAACTGATTTTATTATAAGCAACCTGGAAGGTGCAGCTAGGGAGGAGCTGAGGTATAGATCAAACATGGAGAAGGAATCTGCAGAGTCTATTTTACAAATACTGATAGATGTCTTTGGTGAGAAAAAATCTGCTGCTTACCTGTATGGGAAGTTTTACGAGTGCAAACAAGAATCTACAGAGTCACTTAGGGCATTCTCCCATAAACTACTAGCTTTAATGGCCAGGATACGACAGAAAGACCACCAAGTAGATGAAAATAAAGTTTTAATGGAACAATTTATTAATGGAGTGGATGACTCAGCTTTGCGGAGAGAGCTGAAGAAAATGAGAAGAGATAGGGTATATTCTTCTTTCATCGAGTTGCGCGATGAGGCTGTGGTGTTGATGGAAGATGAAGACATTGAGGTGAGAACGACTGTGAAAGAGCACACCATCAGAAACAGTCCCGAGATGGCGGAGATGGTGAAGATGATGAAGGAATTGAATCATAAAATAGCTGAGCAGGCTAAGGAATTGAAAGCCATTAAGGAGAGACAAGCTCAGGAGAAGACCACTCCAGCAACTACAAAGACACCTAAAAAGAAAACAACTTGTTTTATATGTGGGGAGGAGGGGCACTTTGCTGCAGGCTGCCCCCACAACACATACCAGAAGAATCAGCAGTCCTCAGAGCTAACAGCGATGGAGAAAGATCTTGACAGATTTTCAGCTGGGACTCCGAAGGTTAGGGTGCGAGTAGATGGTGTCTTGGTAACAGGACTGGTGGACACGGGCTCCAACATCAGTACCATGACCAGGGAGTTCTATGTGAAACACTGGGGAGAGGAAATGTCCAGGAAGCCTTCTTTTTTGAAAGTTGTCGCAGCCAATGACATACCTATCGATATTCTAGGGTATTTTGAGTGTGATGTTGAAGTCGGACGCTGTACCACAAAGGATAGAGGAATTTTGATAGTCCAGGACCCAGTGAATGGAGAATCACTGAGAAGGAAAAGGGATGTCCCCCTAATTCTTGGAATGAACATCATAAGGGAATGTCCTGATCTATTTTCTGCAATACCTCAACAAGGAAATACTCTTGATTTCCAAGTGAATGAACACCTGGCTTTGGAGAATGTGCAGCAGCAGACGAGTAATGTGACCTTGTCAATGCCGATGGTTATCAAGGCAGGGACAACTACAGTTGTTCCAGTGAAGGGTCGCTCATTCTCTAATGAAGCTGGCTTGATTGAGCAAAATCAATCTCCATTGCCTTGTGGATTATTCATTGGGGACACCTTGATTAACGGAGCTGCGAAAGTATTCCCTTGCCCTGTGACTAACATCAGCAACCAGGATGTGGTATTAAAGCAAGGAATGAAAGTTGGTGAACTTCACCAGGTTATGGCAGTTGAGGACCCCAGAGCACCAGAGGTAGAAGTTCTTGTGGTTGGTCAGGCAATGATTATTTCCCTAGAGAACTCGGGATTAACACGAGACACCTCTGATTTTGATGTCATGGTAGAGAAATTACAGGACAGAACTGACATCGAACCAGCAGAGAGGACACAACTAATTGATCTGTTAATGAAACATCATAATCAGTTTGCCAAATCCGAATACGATCTTGGATGTACTCAGGCAGAGAATGTAAAACACAGGATTATGCTGAAGGATCCTAATAAGATTGTTAGGCAACCATATAGAAGGGTCCAGCCATCTCAATTTGAGGATGTGAAGAAACACATTAAGGAATTGTTGAACAAAGGAATTCTGACATCCAGTACAAGCCCATATGCTTCACCATTAGTAATAGCGCATAAACCCAATGGCCAACTAAGGGTATGTTGTGACTTTCGTCAACTCAATGCCAACACTGTACGAGATAGCTTTCCTCTGCCACGAATTGAAGAAAGTCTAGATTCAATGGCCAATAGTAAATATTTCACCTGTGTGGATCTCGCAAGTTCCTATCACCAACTTAGGATGGATGAACGGGATCAGGAGAAAACTGCTATAACAACACCCTTTGGACTGTTTGAGTGGACGCGTATGCCATTTGGACTGGTAAATGCAGGTG